TAATACCGGCCATTTACACAAGAGTTTATTCTCTTTTGTTTCAGACTGCCCTAGATTAACGGAATTAAGTTCAATGATAATTTCCGGTTTTTGATGTTATGTGTAAAGTAAAGCATTTTGTTTTGCACAAAATCTTGTCGCTTTATTTCCAAAACTGTCCTGTTCGCAAATTTAGATACAGTCATCAGAGCCAATTTAAAATAAAATGTCTAACAGTGTAAAACAACTTTAACCAGACAGCAACATAATGTCAGAAGAAATCCTTACAAATTATTTAAATGAAATGTAGATTGAACGATGAAAGTATAGAGTTTATGAATATAACTTTCACTCGATTTGTACAAAATCAACTGACGACATAAACAACAACAATTTAGATTGATTATGATTATTTAATTTTTATATAAATATAAAAATGACTCTGATTTCTAATAGTTGTAAATTATTCGAATTTTGAACAATGTTATTGCTATATATATTGTATATCGATTCACATGAATAAGTCAATGAATTACAAATAAGTCCTTGAATTTCATGAATTGGTTCTATTCGTAAATGATTTTTTCACTGAACAGGTGATCACGTTTTAAAACTAGTTCACTTTCCGGAATGCTTACATGTATGAAAAAATGATTTATATTCGCTTGTCCATAATAATAATATTACATTTTATTATAAGTCTATCGATTAGTTGACACTTTGATTAAATAAAAATTATAATTAACAAACAAGGGCCAATCGAATCAAGTTCTATTATGGATATTTTATGTTGTCTTTAAGAACTTTTTAAAACATTTCCAGAAGAAATTATGATTCTACTTCTCATATGATCAGTTAATTCTTCATGAACTTAAAAGTACATAAATATATTTAACACATTTATACAATTTTCTTAATTTCAAATGTGTTATGGGCTTAGGCTATAATTGATCTGAATAATGTGATGTATTTGTGTAACGTACATGTTGAATAATTTGATCATGTACTTATTTCTCAACATAGTTTATAGAAATAAATGACTAAAAAAATGCACTACATTAAAGGTCAGCTTAGCTGACGAAAAGCAAAGTGAGAATACAAAAGAGAAATAAACAGTTTGAAGTGAACAGGATAGAAAATAGTAATATAACATTAAAATCCATCATTGTCTATCCAGAGTAAATTCAAAGTAATGATCAGAGTATCCGTAAGCTTAAGACTAGGCTAATGAAGATATTTTTATAAAAATAGGTTAGATAGGTTAGGTAGGTAGATAGATAGATAGGTAGATAGGTTAGGTAGCAGTAGACAACTGTTCATATTTAACAAGGAAACTGGTTATAGGAATCCGACTGTAAGTGAGACCATTTCGGAAAAAGATGGCTGTATCATTCATTCTCACCTCAGGAGCTCGGATTGATGTGCAGGACATTTTAGGTATCAGTTCAATTGACATTCAAATACACTTCGGTTCAGTCAACCTGAATGGTAAATCACAGTAAGCCCTCCGAATCTTTATGAAGTTGACAGAGCTATGGGAAATCTGAAGTGCGAGAGAGCAACGGGTACTGATAGGCCTACCCGTGAGATTATTGAGGATGATGGTCCACTTTTAAAAGTTAGTTTGACTGAGATCTTAGGATGAATCTGGGAATCGGGCGCAGTCCCATCAGACTGGTCTCAATCACTGGTTCTCCAAATTTATAAGAAAGGACAAAAGTTTTCTTGTGACACTCATAGAGGAATCAGTTTAACAATCATAGTATCGAAAATATTGGCCGCAATGATACTCCGACGATTAACTAGAGCTCGTGAAGAGCAGACTAAAGAAAATCAGGCTGGTTTTCGGCCTGAACATGGATGTACAGACCAGATATTTACACCTCGTCAGGTCCTGCAACAAAGACACACATTTAGGCGTCCCACGATAGTAGTATTTCTCGACCTTAAAGCGGCATTCGACTCTGTCAGTCTTGAGGTTCTGTGGCAGTGCCTGTCATTAAAAGGTGTGCCAAAGAAGTACATTAACCTTATACACGCTCTCTACTCAAAAACTAAACGTCAAGTAAGAGTTTAATGCGAACTATCATCGGAATTCCCTACATCAAGTGGTGGCCGTCAAGGATGTCCACTTTTCCCATTCCTGTTTAACTTTGTCGTAGACATGCTTTTAGAGTAAACTTAATCTTTGTCCGAATTTTCAGGAGTGGACCTTCTACCACGAGATACGCCTGCTGACTTAGAGTATGCTGATGACATAGTTTTATTCAGTGAATATGCTGACAGAATGCAGAATCTTTCGACTACTCTGAGCAACAATGCGAGCATGTTCGGGATGCGATCTGCTCCCTCGAAATGCAAAATGTTGCTTCAAGATTGGCTTATATCAGCACCTGAGCTAGTAATAAGCAGTGAAGCAGCTGAGGGTGTTAACTGCTTTACTTACCTCGGGAGTCTCATCAGTGTTTATGGCCTGGTGACAGACGAAATCTCAGCATGGATACAAAAGGCTCGATTGGCTTTTGCCAACTTGCGTCACTTATGGCGTAGGCGAGATATCTGTTTGCTAAATAAAGGACTAGTGTACTGCGCAGTAGTTCGCTCCATCCTACTTTGTGGCTGCGAAACATGGTCAGTAAAAGTAGAAGATATACCTAGCTGGCTGCTTTCCGATCATAGGTGTCTCTGAAGCATTGCTCGTTTATCCTAGGGCAATCGAGTAAGCAGTGCTGTTGTTAGGAAACGAGTACTAGGTAAGGATGGCAGGTCAATAGATGAAGTATTGAAACTTCATCAGTTGAGGAGGTTGGGGCATGTGTTACGCATGTCCAATTGCTGACAGTTTTGTAGAGCTACGGTTTTAGCATGCAGGAATATGTTGGAAAAAATCTAGGGGTGGCCAGACCAAAACATGGCAGAAATCCATGAAGTCAGTGACAAGTGGACTGAGTCATGTTGGTAGATTTTGACCACTTGGTCGGGACCCGCGAAATGATAATAATCGATAGTTGGAGTCCGTGAATGCCATGGCTCAAAATGGTTTTAAATGGCGCATGTTCGTCCACTCTTTGTGTTCTCTCAATTCCGAACCTTCATAATGCCTCATCTTCTTTATCTTTTCTTTTCTAAGTTTCTTTCACTAGAATAATATCGTCGAACCCTAATCTCTCCGATTGTTGCTAATACTTTCACTACCTTTAGTACTATGTGATTTGAAGTGACGATTACGTCTCACTGCTAATGTGGTATGGCAACATGAACTGATGTACGTTAGTACGAAGTTCCACGTTGTTGCTGCTGCAACACAAAAGTTAATTTAATTTTGATTAATATCCAAAATAGAATGTTACCTATTTTATTGATAAGATAATAATTTGTTTTAGAATTCATGCAAAGAAGTTCAAGTCAATTAAAACTCAGTCAACTAACAATACAATAGTTAATCAGTGATATTTCCATTCAGTGAGATTAATAAAGTCTATTCTTGCATTAGATTGTATTTACTTCTATCTTTAGTCAATATAATTAAATTTTTCAAGAATAGAATTAAAATTTTTTTTATTTCATAATTAGTATTTTATATTTTCATTAACTGATATAAATTTAAATAACTGTCATTCAAGATTTGTAAGATTATTTTAAATTATTCGGATAGATTTTGACAATAAATAAACGTCAGTTGGGTCTAATAGGCTTCATCATTCATGTATCAACTATATTAACACTATTGTCTGGAGGTTGGACAGCCCGAAAGTATGACATATTAAAACACGTAACAATATTGATTGGTTAGCTTTTCCTGGTCTACAAAACCTTTCTACTTTATTATAAACATCAATTCCCTGTAAATAACTTGACTGTGAGACAAATGTACAACGTAAGTAAAGAGAAGAGTATTCTTTTATTGAGTTGTACTTGTTGTTCTCTTCAATGAGGGTTCATTTCTTTCATTATTTTAGCTATATCTGTCGCTATCGACCCTGGCGTTTTCCAACAAATTACAATGGATGAAAAATAAATCTTAAATTAAATTGATACTTTACCTTGTTGAAGGAAGATCGGTTAACAAATACGTAGATACAAAATGTCTTAACCAAGTTACGCTTGATACTATTATTAATTATATAAGATAATGAAAATGTACTTTTTAGAGTTAGTATTCTTTAAAAAGTAGCAGTGAACATGTATTTAACAAATCTAAAATAATGCATTTGCGAAAAGTGTCAGTGACTGAACTTTCTACGATTAACTTTAATGTCCAGTTTTTCATTCATTATTTTCGGAAATTTACAAAAATTATAAATAGTTTGTACATCGTACTAACAAAAAGTGTTCTTTAATGAAGACTAAACTAAATATGAATGAATATTTCATTTAACGATAGAACTAGTCCATTTTTATAAGCTGATGCATTCGAATACTAGACATAAACAAGAAGATATTTAGTTAATTTATAGTGTCGTTTTTTGAGTTGATTCTCAGTTTATCAGGTAAATAGCTAGTAAAGAAATTTATAAGCAGAGATTACAGAATATTATCATAAAATTTCTAATAATATTTCATTCTTAACGATAAGATATCCTTTTTCAATGATTTTTTTAAGAAGATTTTATTTAGAAATCATAGTTAGTAACGTAATCTTTAAAGGATTTATCAATTATCTTTAGTCATATAATAATGACTTAGAAAAATTGCATCTTATCATTAAATAAACCCATAGTATATTAATCCACATGCCTGGTATACTAGGTACACTATCTCATTGGTTGGTAAACTGTTTATCAGAAACTAAAATCTAAGAGAGATCTAAGAAAAAAATTTTTCTAAATATTGTCCTGTTATTACTCAAAACGATGTACCCATGAATATTTTTTAAACCAAATACTATTATGCAAAGTTATTTTTATTGTGCTAATAACATTTGATAAGGATACTATCAAAAAAAGTCTCAATGATCAACGGTGTATGATATGCTACATAATTTATTCAATTAACGTAAATATACAAGCACTAAAACTTACTCATTTCTAAAACAATTGTTCTGCAAATTAATAAATAAATGTAATTTCTTGCAATGAATATTAAATTATGCACTACTAAGTCGACAGTTACTTGACAATCACTTTGTATACAGAATAACGTGACAGGTGCAATTCAGTTGTCTAACAATATGAATAGTAAACTTTCTATTGTTGAGAACATAAAACAATCGCCCATAAATTAAACCTGAAAATAGAAAAACATTGTAAAATTAGCAGTGAGTAATTTATTTTTGAAAATTCAGTGCAAAGTTAATCAAGGTATTGCATGAGCTTTAAGTGAGTATTACTGTTTTGTCATCATCGACCATAAATTTGCCAAAACATTTAGTTTAGTTCAAGTGTATCGCAATGGATCATATGGAACGAAATGACCGTTTTCGATAAAATAAGCAGTTATACAATGTTTAAACTGTCAAATATTAACTCGTTACTACGTTATACTACAACAGATCATTAGCATAACTACGTTTTCCAGTATTCATTAAAACAAAGTCTTAGCATTTTGCGAGTGTAACTTGGTGATTTAGTTTGACAATAATGGAAAATATTTTTAGATATAAAACGTACTATCTACAAATACTACCCGTTCCAACTATGCATGCTGGTAAAGCCACTTAGAAAAGTCGATTGGTTACTCTGAAAATTTTTTTAATTATTTACTTTACATTTATACCTGGAACCACATTGATGGTTTTAGTGGGGAATCGTATGTTAATCAAGATTCGCTAATAGTAAGTTAGTACCTTACTCTGTTTTAATAAGTAGATATTGCATGAACCCCTGAAATACACAGGTCAAATCAATCAGTGCAATGCTTAGCATACACAGAAGAGTTGGTGCCTTGATCTAGAGGGTGAAACAGTTTCTAGTCGATTATTTTGAATTAGCCACTAATGTAAGGAAAGAAGAAATCCCACTGGTCCACGTTTCTAAATACTAATCATATGTGTACTGAAAGAAGACGTAAAGACCAGATAGAGTGATCCATTAATTAGTAGAAGACATATGCTAGACAAACTATATACATCTTATCATCACACATTCATTTGCAAATCAGGCGTATACTTGGTTGTCTTCTGTCACTTGTTGTCTACTCTTTAGAACATTCTAATCGAGTCATAGACCCAAATTCGAAACTTTGCTTCAACCTTAACTTCAGAATGATACTGTTGCATATCCACTGGATACTACTTAAGAGCTTCGTTGTAAGTAGAGCACAAAGCACATGTGCACCTCAAATATAATAGTATAGGACCAATAAAATCCATGATAGGTACATAGGTGCGGAAAGTTATATGTTCTCCGATTCCTTTTTCAGATTTGTTACTCCGCTTGTGGCTAGCGATTTCAACCATTTTGGTGTATATGCATATAATATGTATACATGAAATACGCAGGGCAAATCAACCTATGCATCTCATAACATACAAATTAACATTGGTGAACTTTTAAATCTGGTGCTAGAAGAAAACTAGATGATTCGAAACAACAACAGAGTAGTGGATTAAGCTGATCTTCATAGACCGCTGATGTTTGGTCATGAGACAAAGTCTCACCATTTCCCGAATATCACGTAAAAGTATGAGTTGTATTTCACTCAGGTAACCCAATATCCCGTGAAATGCACGTTATCAATTCTCGGATATCAAATAGTTAACAGGTAACAATAAATATGAGGTTGAATTTGTGGTGGTCAAACGTAATTGTGCCATGAGCACATCAATCAAAACCTTTTGTATTTCAACAGTTGATTAAGTTAAAATATGATAGAAAAATATATGCCTAATGTAATTCTAAGTCCTAATAGACGTCTACGAAGTCAAGAACTCGGTTCAATGATTTATCAGCCAAAATTAACAGGGACAGATTACTAATCGGGCTTTTGAAAGAGTTAATCATTAGTGATAAGGTGTACAGTAATGATTAGGTATCAGCACAAAAATCAATTTACTTGCATCTACCGTACTACTAGATTTGTCTCATTTCTGTGATACTGCTTGATAGGAATAATTTTATGTAGTTTCACGATGCGAATTTGTAACTGATTATTGCTACTCGTGGGTACAAACAATCAATCTGTGGTTAGTAAGATTATATATATATATATATATATATATATATATATATATATATATATATATATATATATATATACATCTCAGCTGACAAAACATCTTATTCACTAGTCCACATCATTAGCGATAGTCGAAAAAATAAAATATGCTTTGTGATTTCTTAAAGAAACAGTAAGTTTATTGTTTACTATGTTTCTTGTATTGCCACACCATTGAAATTAGATGTCAATTAAATCAACATTAAATTGATAGATAATCAATGGACGATATTGCAATCATGATAGAAATTTTATTTTCATTTAACTGATGGTTTAAGGAAAGAGTTTTTCACAGTAGATCTTTTGTCGATGTTTTTTCTCTTTTGCAGGTAAGTACCTTTGTGTCTTTAATAAAGACATGATTGATACAAAAAAAGTTGTTTTTAAATTTCATCTTTGCGAAAGTAAAAAACAAAACATTGTCTTTTAGATAATTGAGTTAATATAGCTTTGTTTTTTTAGAAGCATGTTTTGTTTAAGAATCATTATAATGAAATTAGATTTATGGTTTACTGAACAAAAATACTTGAAGGTTTCATCAAAACACACAGTGATTAAATCATACAAAGTTTTCATTGTTTTTACCAAGTACACTTATCTTAGCTGATTGGATAAGGAAAGTGTAGACATTCACAAAATGAAATTGAACATAGACTAGAAATAGACTAAGAGTGACCAAATTACAACCTAGGATCAATTTGTGAAGTCATTAACGAGTGTGTGAAGCTGGATAAGAAATAAAGACATCCCGATTAGGATCAATGAAATTACCATCACCTTTAGTTAAAAAATCGATTTCATCAGATGCATTCAATCTACATCCTCATATATCGTTTTTTAAATCTATGCATTTCAGTAACAGGGATATCGTTCTTTAATTAGTTTGATTTCGTTTTAGTGTACTGATAATAGTGTGTAATTCCTTGAGTTATTTTAAAGAACTGAATAAAAAAATTTTCCAGTTGAAATGAAATAGCCCATCACTAATTTTTAGTTGTGATTATTTAAATGACATGAAAAATCACTAACAGAAAATCATCACAAGTTATATATATCTACAACTGATCCTACAATGTTACTACAAGCGTTATATTTTCAGTGTTCTAATTATCCTTGAAACAAATCCTTAGTTCATTAGTATGAAATACAAGAAATTTAAACAAGATATTTCTATAAAGTATAACTCCATAACTTAACAGGCAAAGCAATATAGGTCGAATTATTGCGTCAACGGTTTTAAGAGAGTTTGATAGTATTTTATGCGTGAAAAATACCAACAGTGATACGTCTCAGAAATAATTTGAGTTATTGCGGTAAAAACAAGCCGTTGACTGCATAAAAGTATGAAGAATGTTAAAAAGGTGATGACTGTGATCTTCAATTTAATGATCTTGGTTACATGATTATTTTAACGGTAAATCATGTTTTTACATCACTGGAACTTTGTTTTACAAAATTATGTATCTCAGAAGTTTTAAAGAAGTCAGACGAACAAATACGTATTCGTGATTAAAGGATTGTTGAGTTTCATTCAAGTGAAGAATCGGTCAGAGTTAGACCATTATTATCAGCTTGGAAGCGCCATATGAGGTGGCACACCGTCGCAGATTGATTGAGGCTAGACATTAACACAATTATATGTCGTTTCGGTGGTTTAGAGGTTTGACGTTCGCGTGTGGGACCCAAGGTCCTGGGTTCGAGTTTCGTGTAAGAGGGTCGCTGATGTGCACTACTGATGAGTCTCATGTCAGGACGAAATGGCCGTCTAGTGTTTCCATGTTTCTAATAGGGGTCCAAAATTGATCCGTTCATGACTTGAATGAAATGCTTATTTACACACAAACCGCAAGATCGCAATCATAAAAAAATTCAGAGAAAGTTCACTCAACTCTTATATAAGTTGGAAACATTAAATATTGACATGTTACCACCATACATTACTAAAACACTATATCCATTTATGTGTATAAGCTTCTCTTGATAAATCGAAGAAGGTAGGACCTAGCATATATGTGGATCAGATCAGTATCCCATATTCCATAGCACGTCAAGATGAAATTATCAAGAAAAGACTAGAGTAATCAAGGTAGTAACATTCTTTCGTAATGTTCTATTCTGTTACTGATAATACTGCGTTACATTGAAACATAATATAGTTTGTTTATCATTTTATATTTGCCGGACAGAAAAGAAAAATTAACAAGAACATAAAACTTCTGCTAACTGTTTTGAAAATAATTCTTTTGTATTCAAAAATAAACAATCAAGCAGCAACAATTTTTCATTCACTTTATTTTTTGTGTGGAATATTTTTACATTTCTGCCTAATGTAACGTCATAATCGTTCTCTTTTGTGTAATTTAGGGACTAATTTTAGGATCTTTGAGGCATTCAGCTGTCTTAGTTTTTTGCAAACATTAATGTCATTTTATACAATTCCTTTCATTTAGGTCAGTTACAGTGTGTTTATTATGTTTTGTAAACGCACTGAATGCGATGTACTTAAAGGATACGGACTTAGGACTTTGTAATTAAGTCTCATAGTTGTTTAAAGGTGAGCTGAGATTATTAGAGGAGTCGCTAAAACTGAAAATAAGTAGAATGTTATCGGTTTATATTTCGACTTTTTATAGAGATGTAAGCACTAGACTTTAAAATCATCAGGTTAATAACTAATGACTAGTTACAGACTTAAAGTTCAATTACTACACATATCATACTACCCTAAGTTAAATTATAATATGAACAAAACAGAATTAAATCTGTTATGATCATTCATTTTTATTGGTTGTTTAAGCTGTCCCACTGGTGTCTGCAACTGCGACCGGTCAATCTCTTTTAGCATATTTGCATCTTGTACTGACCGCCTAGATATTGCCATTAAATAGTAATAATCATAAACAGAGCTAGATAACATGATGATGTTGTGCTAGAAAAAAATATAAATTTTGTATAAGCTTGACTGTGTTATGAAGATAAAGTTAGATTTTTCACCACTTACTTTTTTCGAAAAGTTTGTTTCTGTTGACATACTTTTGTGTGAAACCAGTTTGTACTGGCAACAAATTGACGGATCAATCATCTCTATTACAGATAAGCTACAATACGTGTACACAAAAGCTCGACTTTTCTTAGCCTTACCAAGTAAGCAGCTAAGAAACAAGTGTAAAATACGTTTAACCTATAAAAAAGGTAAAAACTTACGAGTCTAACTACCTTTATTACAAATTTAAATCTTTTAGTGTACCTTGCTTCAAAATACGTTTAAAAGCGCCATTCAGTAAACAATTTGAATATATGACGTGAAAAGTGACAGATAACTTTAATCAGCACTGGACCTAAGCTATCAGCTGTTTATTCGTAAATAGGTTACATCTCCAACTTTTGATTTTGTGGATCCAGAATAAAATGCTTCACAGTTGTGAAATAATCCTTAGAGCGATCGTTTATACACATATCACTTCAAACATCACTTCTAACAAGCCGAACAGCATACGGCAAATAACCCACATCATACCAAATCAGGCAAACAGTATATGTAACATTCGTATATGACCTTAAAGATTGTTAGGGTTCAGTTACGTTAACAAGAGAAACAGCTCTGGTAACTACAGATCATCTTGTTTTTAAGGATTAATACCGTATCTCTTGAGTTGTTTGGTTTATCACATTTGGAAATCTGTTATAATGTTCAAAGTCAGGAAAGCCGTAAAACTAGACCTTCATCCGGTGTATACAGAAGACCAAACCCAGAAGCTGACCCTCTCATCATCTCCCCTTTTTTAAATTTATCTCACCAAATTATATTTCTTGAATAATATCATGGAACCCTAATCTTTTCTATTACCGCTAATACTTTTACTATCTCTACCATCGAAAATTGAGTCTCTGTGCTAATGATGCATGAACTTATGTACGTAAGTACGAAGTTTTATGTTGTAACTGACTGACTGAAACCCAGCAGCTCAGGATGTTTGACGTGTTTTTTAATGTGGCTTGTTTAGTTTATGGAAAATAATTGAAAATCTAAAGCCTGTCGTGGGCCATTTCGATTTTTTTAACTAGGTTACATGAGGTTTATGACTGTAATCGTTCGATTGGTCATAAGCACCAGTGTCTGGGACAAGTTTCGATTGACTCAGGTTGATGCATAAACAGAGCGAGACAAAGCTGATGAAATAAAATAAACAATAGGCGGGTAAAAATTAAATAATTTTGGTAGCAAAAAACGAAGTAGCAAGAACGTCTTTGAGAGAGAATATTAGGTTTGGTCATGAAAAAAATAAATTAAGATTTAAAGCTCAAATTTTAAGCAAACTGAAATCGGACTCCTCGAAATGATGTTTCCCCACTTCTTTAATAATATTAATTACAAGTATAATCCTGACTGCTATGATGAGGTTCACAAAGATTACACAAAATCTACGTTCTAGGTAGGAACCCCTCAGTCTCTAGTTTTCCATGCCCATAGCACTGAGCGAAACGGTCAGACAGACAGAACTCTGGATGTGTATAACGCATTTTACAACTACTTGAGTCTATTGAAATGTGAGTAATTTTGAGTGATAATTAAAATATTTAACTCTGTGAATTACCAGCACAATAGTTATAACACATTATTAATGTGCCAAAGAGCTATATAGTAGCTATATATAGTACTAACATTCGGCCAAAAACGTAATGGCTATAGGCAGTAAGTAGATAACCTTGCTTATCAGAAAATTTTATTTGTTCTTAAGATTGGGTTCAGTCCCAAGTTCATTCAGAAAATCAGGTTAAAAATCTTATGTGTGATAAGCACAATCACAACTTATTCTAAAGTTTTCAACAATAAATTGCAATCTTCCGAATCACCAATTAGGTGTTCAATATCTTGACATGTTACGAATCAGTGATTGAGCAAATCGAAAGTATCAAACTCGATGAACAAACGAATTCTCTATAACAAAGATTTACTGTACGGTGTAACTTTTAATTATGGATGCCAAAGAAATATGAATATCATCATTAACGTTTAAGATACAATTGCGGTTAGAAATGAATCAATTTTTATTGATCACAGTAGTATATCAGTTAACCTGATTCAGTATTCGTAAGCGGTAGACTAAGTATGAATTTACTTGATCATATGCTTTCATGTCAAGCACCAGTTTGAGATTTCTTCAAAATATCGCTTAAATAGCCGACGTCTGATGTAAGTAATATGCATTTGAGGAAAAATACTAAGTTAAAGTTTAATTTTGATAGATTAGGTGAATAACCTCATTTATGTCCGTTTATTTGTATGAAATTATTATGTTTCAAAAGTATACTGAGGTAGTACATCAAAAGACGCCACGTTAAATAAGTAATTGGTTCTCAAACGTATCCAGAATGCAAAAAGTTCAAAATTAGTTCGACTGATGTAATTATATGAGTAAGTTCTCTTCATAATCACCACGTTTCGACTTTAAAACATTTCACTTGACAATTTTCGAAAATAAAGTTTCCAAAACTTGCCAAAATTAGTTTGGCCATTTACAATGGACGCAACAAGATGTCAACTGAACAATGAAATAAAGAAAATGCATCATACTCATTGTATAGATATTCTGATATTAGATTAATTATTAAAAATCACAAAACCTGCAAATAAAATGCTTTAAGAAATGCTATCAAACAAGCTAATCGTGTAAATAGCTATGTCAAATTTTTTCAATACGGAACGTTCATTTAGACTTATAACAAAACAAATTCAAGTGAAAACGCTAACCTCCATGTGTGTGTAAACTGGTTTCAAAGTATGAATACGCGCCAGGAATTTTATAATTTGGCAGCACAGTTAAACGACTAGTTAAGATTGAAGAAATGAAGTCCTATGATTTGAGCTGTTACTATATCACGAAGCGATGCGTTCAACACAAATGTCTTTCGAACGATTATGAAAATAATTGTCTGACGGTATAACGAGCTGAAACTGAATATACTATTAGGCTCAAGGTTACTTATTATACTCTTTAAAAATACTGTATTCTAATTTGTAAGCAGATGAAGTCATAGATTAAGTTTTGCTATTCGTGATCCTTAAAAATGTACTTAAGTAGCTAATTTCTTGTATGCTGAAGAAATTTAATAACTTCAATGGGTCATTTGAAGTACCTTAACATACAATTGAGCTTGTCCTTATTTAATTCGGTTAAGCCTTTTGAATAACTTATTTATACGAGTCAGATGTAGAGCAGCAATTTATATGTAACACTGAATTCGATCATTGTCTGGTTTGTATGAGCCAGTAAAACTGAACATTGCTTACCGCATACGCGTATATTTTTCCTATTTGCTTTAATGTTAACCTCTTAAATATTTCGATGACACAGCCATTTTCCTATATATATATGTGCATTTTAATCTCATTATTTCATTCGCCAATTTGCTCACTTATTCGCTTTCTTGCCTTCCAGAACTCGTTTACTGATTTTATCTTTGCGTGCTTGTGGTTTGGTGGTCTATTAGTGGTGTGCCATGTAAACCTACTCTTCAGTTCGTATTTTCCTTCCGATTTATGAACTTTCAGACGCCATTCAGTGACGGCATACGAAGTTTAGGATAGCGTAGGTTACCGACATTGAAAAGGCTAATGAGAACCTAACTATCACTTAATTGCTAATCGTGATGACGAATCAAACTCGAACATATTATTACGTAGCGTGACCAGCGAACACAACTCAGATTGGTGCTACTCAATCCAAATATAAAAATAAATTCAATCCATCTCTATAAAAATTATCATTGTGCATTCAAACTACTATTATGGATGATTATTATCACATTTTCATTACATGATAATTATTTCATAAACATTGTTTAACATATTTTGACAATATTTATTGCTGTGCTTTAGTAGGTCACTTCTATGTTAAAATATCTTATTATTTGTCAATAGCATTGTTGGTGTCTACCTAAATACCTGCTATTATATTTGTTGATATATCTGTATACTACCAATTGTACATAAACATGTTGTAGAATCCTTTTAGGAAGGCTTTGTATGGGAAAATCCCTGTATTTGTAACATGTACTTCTTGACTCATTCTGTTCTACATTTTGGTGGTCTGTTTAATCCCGAATTCTCGATTCTCCAGTGTCCGGTTCGTTTATCTAGACTGTAAGGGTGCGATTTGGACGAAAGTTTGGTGCCCCCTCCAGAATGAGACACATTTTGTATAATTATGGAAGGAGTAAAGTGTATTATTGTTTAGGTAATATTTTTTATTTGTATTCATGATTGATAATAGAACCGTTGCTTACCGAAATTAATTTCCTTCTTTTTGGTATTAACTGGGCAAGGCGTGTATCTAAACTTCCTGAACCGTTATTCCTAAAAGTAAGACTGTGTTTTACTTTTATACATGTCTTCAGATAACGACTTCCACAAGTTTTCCTCATGTGGCGTACGTGATATCCCTTACTCTATTTATTACTACCTTTAAGGTCAACGAACAACGGCTTTGGTTTATTGGTCTGAAAAATGTCCGAACAGTTTAGTGTATTAGTATACAAAGAGATGAATTCGGCCGTACATGTGCAATACTTACAAATGAAGTAGCACACGATGTTTGCAACGTTCTAGCTAAACCGGAGGGGGAAAGGCCATACGATGTATTGAAACAGGCCGTGAAAATAAGCAGTCCAGATAACCAAAAAAAGGACTTCGATCGACAACTCATTTAAGTGGAATTAAGGGATGAGCTCTATCGCAACTGAAGAATTACATATAAAGAATAAAAAAGGACAGGAAAAGAGGCAGAAGCATATTTTATCAGTCATGGCACCGTCGACACAAAAAAGTGGTAACGAAAAAGATCAAATGCCGAAAACCGATTACGCTCTTGGAGACACTTAGCTGCTACTATATGCCTGTATCATCGGATGCAAGGCGACCGAGTTTAGAAATGTTGACCACCAGTGATATATTGTGAATGTTTAGGTTTTAAGGATTTATAAACCACCTTTTTAGAAGTATGAGAAAGCGTTTCATGGAATAAGAGGTGTGTTCGAAGCAAAGAAATGGGGGAGCTCAAAAAAGTGATGGACACAGAAAACACGGTTAATTTTGTGGTTTCAGAATCATGGATTACAATATGTGTGCATTATAGTGTTTCATATAGTGCTTCTCTTACTTTGTTGAGCGGAGAGAATGAAATGTATGTTTTCGGGATCACCCTTCATATGAGAAATAGCGCAACTATGTGAGCTCTCGAGGCAGCGGGATAGGACGGAGAGGCATGTGTTTTGGTGCTTTGTGGGCTAAAGCTCAAAGCAAAAGACATTAAAATAGATGTAGCGCATCTGCTTCCAATGTATGACTTCCTCCTAAATAAACTTAAACCGTGGTCAAACCAGTCAAACTGATTTATTTTTTGTCACCTTTATACTCCATATATAAACTCGGGAAGAAGTGATATCTGAAAGTTCGTCTAAATACAGATTTTTAGAAACCAAAATCGCCCTCACTTTATTTCACCACATTTAAGGTCTCTCTAGATATGACATGTGAAAGTGATTTGTTTCTGGCTTGGTCTTCAAGGATGGTGACTTTGTCAGTCAACTCATCAGCGGCGATCATGAAGTCATCTAAATTACGTTCCTTGTTGATATGCTCTATCTAGTAGATTCACCATGTCGTCTCAAACATGAAGGCGATCAAAGCTAACACCATCGACCAAAAACAGCTTCGGTAGAAGAAACATGGAGTGATTTCTGGCAACTATACAACGAAGTAACCTAATAAAATATTGTTACAAAACAACACGGCCATTTCGGGGTAATCCTGAGGGTTCACAGCTTACCGAGAAAAAAATAAAAAATTTATGATAGAAGTAATGTTTATGCTTAAAAAAGTGTTACATGGAGCGTTCTGCTTCAAAAGCAACAGCAAACTTTCAAAAGTACTACCACACTTACTGCAGTAGGTTGCATAGTCAGATTGACTTTTCAAAGGATACAGTGATTATTTCCGTATACAGTTGATGTTTTCGAGATAAAATTGTAAATTTTGCTTAAGAGGTTGGAATATACAAGCAATAGTTGGCGCGAATTCCGTGGATTCTGTTGTGACTAATTTTTTGAAAAAGTAATAGGATTCTCTGCAGTCGAATGCACCGTAAAGATTCACAGCCTGTTATCTGCATCTTTCTGCTGTTGAAATTATGGTCGCATCCCAGCAGTGTATGCACAAATCAATTTTGAACGTCCCTAATTCTTATCTTGTCTATGGTGTCCAAATTTGAAAGGATATATAAGCCATATTCAAGGGAGAACCATAAACACATTTCCAAGACGGTACGCTTAAGTTTCCTATTATTAAGTTCTCATTTATGAGCGCCACAGTCCGTCTAGATTTAGAGATAACGGAAGAGGCATGTTTTTCAAATTTTAGTTTGCCCGAGCAATGATGAGTGTCTTTCTTACATTTTCGTAAGAAAAGTGGTATTTCACAGCGATGCTTACCAAAATGTATGAGGCGAACACTGGGGTGTGTAAATAATATTTTTCAAGCTACTTTAAATTCTGGCTGTGTTTTCATTCACATCTTCCTGTAAAGAGTTGAATACAACTTTGAGGTGTTTTACACATATCGTTTATGCACATACGAAACATGAGCGAACACAGTATACTTCCCTGGATAAATCCACTGATATCGGTCTTGATCATAAAAAGCAATAGTCGTACTTTAAAATTTGTCAGCGTTCATTTGAGAATGAAGGCAAACACAAATGTGGTGGGTTACTGATTCTAAATGATTTTAGTTCGACCAGCAGCCTTTTGTGTTGGACCTTACCAAGAACTAACTTCAAGTCAAAGAGTTTGAGAATTACTAGTAGACCTTTGTCTTGTTTTTGAGTTATATCAGTTAGATAGTCTTCGAGGCATGAATTGGGTGATATGGATGTCAGCCAAAGTGATGAAGTGCTACAGGTCGGCCGGAAAAGTGTTCCAGTACAATACGTGCAGCTCAGCAAAATATGGAAAGTATTCGAAATAATCAGTAATCAAGAGTTTGTAAGGACTGTCCCGGTACATCAATTTTAGAAGCACGTCTTATGTGATCACCTGTTAATTATTAAGGAATGCTCACTTCAACTGATAGTGGAAGATCAATACGAAACAGAAGCCACGGTGGAGTTTTTCCACGTAAACACATAATCAGCAAGTAGGTAAAACACTGAATCTTTGAGACAGACAGCTGACTAAGAACTTTAATTATTTTATAATCAGAAAAATCAACAGGACTGCATGTTATAACTACACCCGAAATTGTTGAGGTTGATCGCACAGCACATCGCTGTTTCGATGATATTGAATTCATCACTTGGACAAAGAGTAAGCTTCGGACTGGAAGGCTGCAAGACATTATAAACACAATTTCGGTCAAACTATTAAAACGTCAGCTCATTAGTATCATGGTGGAAATGATAGAGATCGCAGAGACGGTCGTGGGAAGAGATAACTTGCTAAACGGTGACCAACACCGATTTAGGAAAAGATTATCATGCACGATAGAACTATTAAAAACATCTGTGGAGCGATCAGAATCGCTAGATGATAGAGAAGTCCGTGGATTTTGTCTACAGAAAAGCATGTGATAGGGTGCCGAACAAGCTCTTATTAAAGCTGGAAATTCTAGGAACTTCGGGACGTAAGCTGACCAATGATTAAATGGCGGTTCAAAGACAGTTTACTTGCCTTCAAAATCGAATTATATCATTGTCAGGCGGGATAGCACATCCTATCAGTTAATTTTCAGCGTAACTAATTCCGACTCATTAATGTCTATGAAGAAACTACAAAGTGTATTGTTGATCAGATAGCATATGAACAAATTATTGGTATTCAGGCTGAACGATCCAAACCAGAATCTCCTACATTGCGTATAAATCATTATTGAGTGACTCGCAGTGAATTACATCAAAACACAAACACTGTGCATAAGTTGGTTGATGACAATTTAAGGAATACAAATCATATTGAAATTACGAAATACGTCTGTTAATATAGCTCATACTAAACAAAAAACACTTTCTGATAAAAACCAATACTAAACAGCAGGAGGAATGAATAAGTGTTCAGAACCCGAAAATATATGAGCATTCCCAACCAGATTGGATCAAAAAACTGACTTCATTGATTCGAGTCACCTTTGACATCAGTCGGTCAAAAGTAAATAATCATTAAACATAAAACATTAGTTTCAAGAGTGCTCAAGACTCATTAATCACTAATACCAGGAACGTGGCTATGGTCGCATAGGATGCAATTTGAATACTGATAAACACAGGCTGTTCAGAAAGGCTGAATTTAATCAACAATTTGACCATAACTGTCACACTTAACTGCCTTTTAATTCATTCATGACATACTTAGGTGCAGTATATGGAACGTCGATATCAACAAGCAAGCTAAGATAAGCTCTTCTTGTACCAGTTTGTTGAAAATAAAAGTTAGTTTATTATTTAAAATAAGAATTTTGAAAATTTACTTATTAGACTACAAATGAAGTACCTGTTGAATTCATTTATTATTTCAAACTGTTTTCTACAATCAATTATAAGCATTTTCATTATTAGTATTAACCTAATCAAGTAATGAAAATTTCGTGAAATAGAGTAAATCAAATGGCATCAAGTATACAGATAATTTATCATTTTCAAATGTTCCAAATACGATTACAGAAGATATTATGATAATGATGAGTATACATCGTCGTAAAATATAAAATACAACAACTATGGTAATCAATTGATCAGTATACATAAAAAAAAGTCTGTAAATAATAACATGAAAAAGCTTATAAGACAAATATTGAAATAACATGATAAATAACTTGGCTAATAACTAGTTTACAAAATTTTCATATAATTGTTTTAAAAGAGTAAAAACTCACAGCCATCAGCCAAAAGTAGTATAACATAATGATTACAAATGGTATATATAATTCAAGAACATAAAGTGTAAAAATTATTAAACTCAATAATTGATATTAATGAGGGAAGAAAAAAAAAAAGAAATACTCAAAAAAGCAAATTAATAATGGTAAGTAGTATCTAGGAAGACGATTTAAATGATTTTGGGATGAATGTTCCATGTAGATCACATAGGTTTGACAACAATCTATGCGTATTTCTTCGTTCAATAATATATCTATAAAGAAAATTCATAATAACAAGCACTGTTAAAAAAAAGAGCGAAATAAACTAATAATGCTTAAAATCAAATGAGCTTCGGAAAATTTTCACCAATTATGTGAAATTGAAAGTAAACAGAAACGAAGAACCAGGGAAGGAGTAAAATATCTATTGGTTTCAAAGATAAAACCATTATTCACTTTTCTGGTTACACTTTGTTGATACACTTAAAACATCTACAATAATATACTTAAAAGTCGAGTACTTATTTAATCCATTTGTTGTAATTAATACATTCGAATAAAAAGCAAAAGATTAGTTTCAGTTGTTAATCGAATCATATAATTAATGAAATTCAAAAGTAAATGAAAAAAAGTAGTAGAAATAAAGACTGCTATAATTATTGAACACCTGAACCAGATGTTCGCTTAAACATGCATGCACTTTAAATGTAATAAGTAGGGCTGAGAATAAATCTTTCCACATAAAGAATTACTGAACTACTTGGTTATCTGACGGTTAGAAACTAGGTTAGAGACTAGCAAAATCTATTCTCGAGTATCAACAATCGAGATAGCATCAATCCTAGCGAATGATAAACAGATATTCGTTTAAATTAGTTTCACATACATTTATAGATCAGTTAAAATAACGGTTTAATCAGGTAAAATTTGAACCTCTACACTAAAAAAGGTTTTGCGAGATAACATAGTCTGGACTTCGGTGCATGTTTATATATGAATTCGATTCCTTGAGAGAGTTTTAGTCTAAACTATTCGGATGTTGTAGAGGAAATCTCATTTGGGACAATAATATCGAAAATGCATGAAATAATTATCAAAGAAGGCAGTAAAACAATGAAAGATAAAGTTATGAAAACATGATGAAAAATTCGCTAATTCCTTAGTACCACCTTTGACTGTTAGGCATGTACTAAAACATACAGCAAGTGTTACATGAAAAGTTAGGTTATTACTAGGGGTTATTTTTTATACATCAAAAAAATAAACTATTAAAATGAAGATAGGTGTTCGCCTACAATAACAACAAATAAATCGTTTTAAATTCAATGTTTTTGCGGTCTGAGAATGAAAATTTCAGATTTATTGATGGATGTTTTGATCAGCTTGACCTATTCCTAAAACTACAGGAGATATTTAACTTCATAGATTCTGAAGTCTTTTTAAAGGATATCCAGGAAAGTTATTACAAACTTGCATATTCTTTCCTCAAGTATATTTCCTAAGTTTCTTACTTGTTATACTGGATGAGAGAGATGACAACTTGGATCAATGCACGCTATACGTCTAAAACTCTGAGATGATAAGTAATAATATAATTAATTGGACTTCAAACGATGAAAGTGTAGCTTTAGCATAAAACAAGGTGATTTGTATGATGACTAATCACATGTAAGGACAATGTTACAAATGAGTGGGGGAAATTGGTGAAGATTAAATTTGGGTCAATCGTTTTATACACCCAGTAAAGCAAAAAAATACACGAAAAGCTAATAAGTTAGGTATAGAGATATATATATATATAAAGTAGTAGGATTAGCATGTGCAAATATTTTTATAATGCGTGTACAATACAGATTAGATCATACTTATACTAAAAGAGATAATAAACAATAATTGAGCTAACCGCAAATTATAGTTGAATAATTATTTTTCCCGTAATTTATATTCTAGAATATGAAGACATGAGAGTTACCATTTACTTAAATGTATAAAAATTTGACATATATATATAGGTAAAGTTATGAATTATTCGTATGCTTAACAACGGTCTGATGAAATCACAGTTGGATTCTGCGTATAAACAGTATTGAGATGGTAGTTCAGGTCAGGTGGATGATTGTGGTAGTTATGTAGCAGAAATATCTGATAGTCTTGGCAATAATACCGTATGAATTTTTAATATACAAGGGTTGGGACTGAAATCTGTGACTTTCAAAGACAGTTTACAAGCAGCTTAGAATCCTAGTTTACAATGAATTACGCGAAAATAAACAAAAATATATCTATGTAAATTTCCGAATAGCAACAATAATAAAATTGATTATCTGTGTAATTTACATACTCCACACACACACCAATAATGAATGATCTTGATTCAGTTTTTAAATACTGAACAGCTTTCATGCATATAATAGACTAGATGTGTCCATTTCTGATGTAAACAAAGACAGGGGACGAATAAATGCATATGTAATTATACATACACTGACCTATAGAAAAACTTGTTATATTGCTTACACATTAAAAAATAGAAAACAATAAGCAATCAATAATGTAGAGCACATACATTCCAGCTTTTTTTTACATTAAGCAAAACCATTAACCAAGTCATGTCAATTGAGTTGTATGCAAGTAATGTTCGTTTTTAAATGTCTATGCAGAACGATCGATTTTTTGCATAAATGATTTATATATGCCTACGTATGCTTAAACATTACTGTTAGTGTGATAAGAAAAATACCGCTGTGTAGGTATGTTGATTAGACTATCTTTTGTAAGAATAAACCAACCTACAATTAGAATTAAATATACAATAGTAATCACGATAGACTCATAAAGATTATGATTATTTTGATTTTTTTTTTAAAAAATGTTAAAAATTCGATAAAATAATGAACATGAACTAACCTGACGCCAGGTGAAATTTCGCTAGCTAAAGAAGTTGCCTTTTCAAGTAAAGGAAGATGTATAAAAAACAATTGATAAAAAAAATTGAATTAAATGACTCATTGTTAAGTTGAAAATATTATACAATGGTGGCAAAGATAACAAACACAATAAACGATAAATAGATGACTACCAATGCAGTATAATTACGTCTTAAGTTGTTCATTAACGCAGTGTATTATGCTTCGTGTAATACATTATTGTCAAAAATATGTAATATCTAAGGCTCTTCAGCAAGGCTCAGTTTTGAAGAAACTAACTCTTTTCCATGGGATTGACACTGACGTCACACAGTGAGATGTTAGTAATGAATTGTATGAGTGACTAACTTAAATCAATTAGCCATAATGTAGTGTGTGCTAGTCCAAAGTATGTTGAAGCGCATAGTACTATATGATGGCTAAAACTACAACGGGAAATACGGCACTAAATTGTGCGATACACAGTTTCAAGATCAAAATAACATAATTATTACCAGAGTTAAAAAACACGTATATTTAAAATAATGAACCACTACTTTAAGAATTACAAAGTTTAGTTATCTTTATTAGCGGAACTAATTATATTAAGCTGTTCTGAGGTTAGGCTATTATCGTTATATTTTTATTAAACTTATGTAAGATTAGCACGTGATAATCAAATGAATAAAATACAAAGATACTTGGCATTCATACTGATTATTTTCTTTCATATTTCAGCAGAAGCACAATTTGTAATAGTTGTACAAAAATGTGATATAAATGTTATAAGAAGCTCTTACAATGAATAATCATCATGAAGATTTTTCTCGTTTTAAATTTATTTCACTGAATTATATCTTCAAACCCTAATCTTCTTTATGACTCTTAATACTTCTACTACCTTTACTACTGCGGAATTTGAATTGTCAATTCCCTCTCTGTGCTAATATGGTATGACAACTTGGACTGATGTATGTAAGTATCACGTTCTACGTTGTAGTTGACTGACTGACTACAATGAATAATCATTTAAATCTATGTACTTAGTGTCATAATACTTTGAGCTATTAAAATTGGAACACTAAGCAAATGTTACGAAAACAATACGGGATGAAATATTATTAGGATAAAGTCCTTTTTTAAATGGTTTGTAACCCGAAAAATAACATATTTGGTGCAGTTCTTTAGATGACATAACGACTACAGTGTTCAAACATTCATAAAGATATAAAACAATTACGATTTGTACAGACAGTTAGTTGAAACTATCAATAAAAGATTCTGTTTTCGTTTTGAATTGGAAAAAAATTAGCATTTAATTTAGACAATATAATATTCGATAAATAAAAGGTTACCTTAGAAGGAGCATTATAAGCTGATTGAATCAAATTCAATATTTCTAAATTATCTTTTGATTTTGCCACATCAAGAGCATTTTTGTCATTCTGTTAAATTAAACACACAAAAACCATACAGGCAATAATAATCATCTAAACTGGTTTACGTTGGATAAAAAACGATTCTGTAGCAAAAATGAATGTATGTACCAAGGTTTCGCATTCAAACATTCGTAGAGCTAATATTTAAGTTGATTAAAAAAAAATGAGATCCATTCACTACTCAACAGGTCAAGATATCTAACGAGAACTTATTGCATTGAATAAACATAATTCCAAAATGGAAAGCACAGTAAAACGATAAAAAACAGCAACAACAACAAAAGAGGGATGATTTACATTATTGGGCTTAAAATCTTAGTTGGTGGATAAAGAATTACTCTTTTATTTATTTTAATAGTCCAAAGGAACCAACGCTATTAGGAATAATTCTTTCACTCACTTCAAGATAAATACGCATCATTCAAAGTAAACGTTTAGATAACTGTCCTATCTATTGAATAACTTGTCGTCAATGTAACTTCCGATATTCCTATCGATCACTGTCAACTAATTTATCAGAGCAATGTTCAATAGGTATTTTAATATGATTCATCATACATTCATTCTTTCGTTTTAATCATTTGAAAATAAATATATTACAAGCACTCAAGTTCTGAGGGCGAAGTAATACGGCTGACTGTAGGAGGATGTCATTACAGCAAAGTGTTTCCGTCAGACAACTAGCATCTGTAGCGATGCTGTCTTCTCACAAGGAAGGAAGGGGTTAGAAAATGTCGACCCTAAAAATGTCACAGCCCACCTTCTTACCCCACAGATTTTCGTCTCCGGCGGTAAGGCCACTTCCCATAAAAATGCCATATGTGACCGGACTCAACAGTTGTCCCTTGAGCTCTGCGGTCACGCTCCCAGGTCGTCAAGACCAACAATAATCTACCTTCCCTTTAAGGTTCCGCAAGAAACACCCTTTCACGGTGTGGGCAGCCGGGAAGGGACAACCACCCTCATACCCGTAACAGTGAACGAGACCGAATCGGTCACAATCAAATCCTGACTGACTAGTGAAGCAATATCTAAGTGAAGCATAAAATTGATTTTGTACACTTTATTAACAATCGGTTCTTAATAAACTAATAGAGAAGCTTAATTCTACTGATTGAAGCCTGCAAAGTGTAATTTGTGAAAGTGAATAGAATTTTTCTCTGTTGAATAAGTGAATATCGAATAAAAACTACACTACATTTTATTTACATATGGTTGATAAAATACACTTCTCGTGAGTATTAAGAAATAATATTCTAATTAAAATAAAGATAAGAACAATGGTCAGTCAGTTGCAACGTAGAACTTCGTACGTAAGTACATCAGTTCATGTTGCCATACCACATCAGCACAGAGATATAATTGTCAATTCAAATCCAATAGTAGAAGAGGTAGTAAAGGTATTAGAAGTAATCGGAGAGGTTAGAATTAGAAGATATTATTCACGAAGTATGATTCAATGAGATAAGTTAAGAAAGTAAAAACTAGAGGTGTTGAAGAACCCAGAAGATTAGGATTTGAGAGAACACAAAGAATAAATGCACTGGCGCCATTGCGAACGATTTTGAGCCATGTCATTCAAGGTCTCTAGCCATCGATTATTATCATCTCGCGGACCCCAACCAGGTAGTCGACAATAACCGACATGGCTAAGTCCACTTGTCAATGACTTCATGGATTTCTGCCATGTTTTGGTCTGGCCGCCTCTAGCTTTCTTCCAATCTACTCCAACACTACAAAACAAAGCTCGTCGAGGAAGTCGGTGGTTAAGCATACGCAGCACATGTCCGAACCACCTCAACTGATGAAGTTTCACCACTTCATCTATTGATCCGCCATTATTACCTAGCAACCGTTTCCTAATAACAGCGTTGCTCACTCGGGTGTCCCACGATATACGAGCAATGCTTCGAAGACACCTGTGATCGAAAACTAGTAACCTACGAATATCTACGCTCACTGGCCATGTTTCACAGCCATAAAGTAAGACGGAGCGAACTGCTGCGCAGTACACTCGTCCTTTAGTCAGCAAACGGATATCTCGCCTACGCCATAAGTGACGCAGGTTTGCAAAAGCCAATCGAGCCTTCTGTATCCGTGCTGAGATTTCGTCAGTCACCAGGCCATCAGCACTGATGAGACTCCCAAGATAAGTGGAGCGGTCTACACGTTCGACCACTTCACTCCCTATCACTAGTTCAGGTGCCGATGCAACCCAACCTTGAAGCAACATTTTGCATTTCGAGGGGGAAAACCGCATCCCGAACATGCTTGCATTGTTGCTTAGGGTATTCAGAAGACTCTGCATTTTGTCAGCGTCTTCACCAAGTAGGACTATGTCATCGGCATATTCTAAGTCAATAAGCGAGCCACCTGGTAAAAGGTCTACTCCTGAAAATTCAGACGAGGATAAGGTTATTTCTAGGAGCATGTCTATGATAAAATTAAACAAGAATGGAGAAAGTGGACATCCCTGACGGACACCACTTGAAGTAGAGAATTCCGGTGACAGTTCGCCATAAGCTCTCACTCGACCAGTGGTGTTTGAATAGAGAGCTTGTATGAGCTTGTATGAGAACAATGGTAAAATTAAATGGATCCACTGAATTTCATTGGTTTCCTTTTTTTTAATCATATTAAAGTCAATAAACTCTTATTAGTATATAAGGTTTATTAACCTTTCAACTTGAGATCCAATTGTTGAAGTTCACTGATTACTAGAACTCCGGGAGTTATCTGTCACTGGTGGGCACGTGATCAGTATGAAATTATTTTGGATAGCTGGATTTTGTAATTTTTATGATGGACGAGACTCAAACAACCAGTGGAAATCAGGAAGTAGCAAAAGTCAGTCAATGATGCAAACAAATTAGATCTAAAGAAGTTTCTGTACATTTTATGGTGTTTAAATAATTGAACTAGTAATCACTGAAATGAAAAGTACCCAAAAGAGCAGAAAAACACATTTACTCTTACATTATCGACTAAAGTTAAATTTAAGTCTCCGTAACCAAGTATACATTTTACGACACCAACGTGACCGTGTTCTATTGCATACATTATGGCAGTGTTACCAGAAGCATCCTGAGCATTTATATTAGCTCCATGCGCAATAAGCAAAGAACAAATATCTACAGCTCCATTTGATGCAGCTAACATGAGTGGAGATTGACGAGCAGGTGTATTTGTGCAGAGATTCACATCCCCCATGCTGAATAGTCGACTAAGTGTTTTTAAAGCACCAGAGTCAGTTACCTGTAAAAAGTAACAATAAGCGAAGAGAATGATCGAAAACAGGAGATAAGATTATTGAAAACGTTAATGATAATACCCCTACTGATAAATGTTACAATTTTAGAAATAAACGAAAGTGATCTTGATCTGATATACACTAATGACTATATAAACAGGTTAGAAGAAGAATGCATACTTTGATGCTTAAAATAAAAGTGCGACCGCATATTCTTTGAAAGAACACGTAAATAGTGAACGAACACACGTTTGCGCAACAGGTCATTGTACCCTTCTGCGTCCATCGCTATTGTATAAATCAGCTAACGAAATCAGTTAAACATATGTGGGTAGGGAATTAATCTTACTCATCCAACGGTAAAAAGATTAATAAAATTACAAATGAATTTACTTCCGGTCAATTTCATGCATATTTCTAAATGATCTTGAGGACTGAAAGTTCCGTGGAAAAGTAATATTTAGAGATTTTTAATGTTAGTTGCGTCAACTATGAATACTAAGAAGGAAAAAAGGGAATTTTCACTTACATTACTAAGAGTAGCAATCATAATAGGTGAAAATCCAGATCGATTAAGATAATCAGGATGAGCATGCCCAGTATCCAGAATTAAATTGACAACTTGCCAAGCACCATGACCAACAGAATAATGCAGACAGGTACTATCCTATTAACAGAAAAGGAGAGAACGCATTGAACTGTTTTTTCTTTAATATATATATATATATATACTTGTGAAAGATGGTCACAAGAAACCTTATAAGTCGAGAAATGGTTGTGCAGTAGAAGAATCCTACATAGTTAGTCTTTTCACTTGACTTAAATAATGTTTTAGATAATTTTGCATACTGTGAACTATGAATTCTCTTAAATATGTTTTTTAGGATCGCGCTATGGTGTATTGTTTACAGTAAACATCCGTGGATAGAAAATGAAATCAGGACGTTTTGTCAAGACAAAATCATCTCCATTGAAAGGGAAGTCATCATTAAGACCCATTTTCATAAAGCAATTAATAAGTGGAGAAGGTGGAAAAACTAACTGCAGAATTATGCTATATTGACAACGTTGAAACAAATGGAATCGACTAATGCGGATAACATAATGATTTGTTGGATTTGTGAGCGTTGTTTAAACTGTAATTACGGATTTCTCGCCCACCGAGTATTACGTTTTTAAAGAAACTTCGCAACTCAACTACTCCGGATGACAATATGATGGCAGATCATCTACAGAATGTTGGGTTATTGAGAAAAACAAACTTATATAGCTATGGTCAGGAAAATGATATGCCAAGAAGGCAGGATTCGAGAGATGAGGTTATGTAAGGTGTTAAGATCAGAAAATTTACGGTTAGGAGTGCTACCTTTAAGATAACAGGGTTAGAATGGTAACGTCCCAAAACCTTAGATTTAACCATTTTTTCATAACATCCAATTTCATATACAAAATCTGCATCCCGATCGACCAATATTTGATTGGTTGATATAAAGGTTATTCATAGAATCACTCAAGATAGCTACTAAACAAATTTTAGAAAAGTTCTGAGACATTAAGAACAGTGTACGATTTGTTGAAGGTTAATTTAAGATTTGGTGATCACATTATGTATGCTCCAATTTATACTGGTTCTATTCTGTTTTCTACATTGCAAGTTGGATTTCCATGTGCACGATTGTGTATTTCAGTTGCTAATCGAAAATCTGTCCATCACATTAGAGAGGATTTTGCATCACCTGATTTCCCATACATATAGGTAAGTATTATTTCGATTATCAGCCTTATTCACAGAAAGCTTTTATGAATGAAACAATGTCAACAGTGTTGCTTTCCTTCCTATTTGATGACTCCTGGATAAATGGGGAAATATCCTGACAGTATTGATAGAACTAACTTTTAGTGTATGGACCGTTGCACTTAAAAATAGTAGCAGAGTGTTTGCTACACCTGTATATCTTCGTTTACGTTGGATGTACGCCACAGTTTTAACTATGAATTACATATAATACATCCGAAGTCTCAATAAAAATTACCCAGGAAATATAAGAATTCAGTAATGAAATAACTGTAATCGTCTGTTGAAAGGTTTTTATTTCAATTTTTAGTACGAGTTACACAATACCATAATGTGAATCCATAATATTACATAACAAGTACAATTTAACACTAACGTATAAAAAAGTAACAATGAGAATTTATCTGTCTACTATTTTCTTTCTCACTTATATATGCGTTTGGACCAGTTCTAGTTTACTTAGTAAAATAACACCTACACTTGTGTTATAAAGTCACATGATGTTAGCTTAAGTCAGACGGTTCATAAATAATCTTTCATTGAGTTATTTAATCAAGTTAAACTAACTAATTGATGAATACAATCAAAACGATGTAGGTATTTTTGCTTGTGATAATCATATCAATTTTTTTTTGACATACAATATCGAGTGTATCACATTTTTTAAAAAATAAGAGATTTTTTAAAAGTAACAAAGTATTCATGAATGATTGAATCACAGAGAAAAAATGATTTCTAATGAATAGGTATTAATAGTATGAGTTGACTGTAGTATGCTAAATACCAATGATAATAATAAAAATTATTAATGAATGTTAGGAATTTGAGTTCAGATGATCGATCATTTGTTAAATAATTTATTTACTAATGAGGTTGCTAGTTAGTACTTTACAAAGTTTACTGCACTTCATCGATTGGATACCTGTTTAAGTGCACATACTATTTGTGTAAAATCTACCCACTTTAAGATATATATATATATATAAATTCATCAATTAGTGTATAATAACTGCTTTAAATGATCCTCTTATCATGAATAAACTTAATAATTCATAAAGCAAAATATCTCAGTGTTCTAGATTAGATAAATATATTGAATGGCGTTATTTGTGTTAATGCATCTCTGTTTGTAAATGTACAGTCACTTCCAAAATCTTATTTAAATGTAAATGGAATCAAGATAAAAAAAATTGCTGAAATTTCATAAAGAAACAAACAGAGCACACACGTATAATTTAATGACTTGGAATCGTTAGTTATAACTACTAAGATTCATTTTTAAACGTACGTTATGATTACGACAAAAGCTTTCAGCGATATGACATTTATTAAATTCAAAGTAATATTATTACAATACTTAGCAGCATATTAATCGACCGAGCAATCGTTATTTACTATGATTCCCAAATGTGTATAGTTTCGAGAAAGTGAAACCAAGTTAACAGATCACTTTATTTCAACGAATAAATAAAACTATGCTGTCAGCAGGCACACACAGCCAGAGGGATGAGTAAACATAGCTCGAAAAGTAAATACGTAGGTGTTTGCAGAAGGGTCCCCGAGCTTTTGAGCGGTCGATGTTTAAATGGTTAGGTGACATACACGCGTAGACTGGTACATGCATTTGATTTCATATACACTCGTCCACACGAGTGTGTGTAATGATACATTGGATCAGGCTAACTCTCACGAACTAAAATAGCGATGTTCGTCTACCAAAAGACTATTATGATGATTGCATGATTTTTTAAATGCGTCCTAACTACTTGGTTATTGAATAGTGAGGTAACCCCACTGCCTACAGACCATCAAACCTTGACTTGGTAGTCCAAATTTATTGTACTAACAACAAAATCAAAGTTACAAGCTCGATATGGCGAAAGTAAATTGATTGTTAAAATGTCTTAAAATAGGGAAAAACAACTGTCGTAAATGTTTTGGCTGTCAATGAATTTTCCATTGATTTCAAATTAGAATAGAAATAACCAATTTCAGTTACACAAGAACTGCAAAAAACAAAGCAGAGGTAACTTAAATATCATCTAACTATGTTTAGATTATACGATATTGATCAATTGAATTACAGATGATTATTTCACTGTTGTTTCTAGTATTTTTAGTTATTGTTATAATATACCAACATAGTACGTGAAATAAAAGGCCGAACAACATACATTTTCATCAATTGATTGAATGACATCACGCAACAGAGCTGGTGAATAATCATGAAGAATCGCAATGAAATCTTCAATGCTAGGTAAGTCTGTTTGTGATGTTGCAGCAAGTTCAAACCAAATTTTCACTATCGTCAGAAGTTTATCTTTCTACAAGGTTTAAAAAAAAACAAAGAAAATGCAACGAATAAAATAAGTTAGTGAAATAAATAATAGTTGGAAAATTTACAGATATTAACTGTGTTTAGAATAAAGTGGTGACACAGTCGTTCTACAGGAGTTAATTGTTATCATCATAGTGTGAATGTCTGACGTACGCTGTAACGAAATTGTTATCTCAACATCGGTATTAACAGACAACACATTAAGGTGCTTTGATCGGTCAACTGGGTCTTCGAATTCCAGTGTATAATCTACTTTATCAAACCGTAAGCCAAAATGGGATAAACTACATCTGCCTAACCAACAATGACCTTGACTTAGGATGTTGGGTAGAGCAAGTGTAGACTGGAAGAAAGCTAGGAGAGCTTAAAGTGAAGCGATGCATCAGTCCATGAAGCCATTGACGGATGAACTGAGTTGAAGTGGTCAATGTAACTACTTGATTAGGTTCAGTGCAATAACCTTGACCAACGATTTGAGATATGGATAAGAATTAGTTACAAAGATGCAGATACATTTAGTCGTTATCATCTCGCACCTACTGAATGTTAGAATTATTTCATACTTTAGATTCTGTGAACGAATAATATTCAATGTGTCTAATCTTTTCTACAACCACTGATACTGTTACGCTTTTTTCTCCTTCGATATACATCATCATAATTTTCGCCTTCTGTCCTAATGTGATGTGACAGCTAGAATCGATGGACATTTCATGTTAGATCCTACGTTACTTATGTATGACTAATTAACTGAAACATTTATAAAACTTTTGATCAGAGAGCGCAATAAGCATAGTTGATTGCAAAGGATTTTTATGGCTAAAAGCTGACGAATAGTAACATACCATTTCCTCTGCTCTACCGATAGTTGGTTCAGCTTGATAGTAACCAATTAAAGATTCACATGCTTTTTTTGCTTCGTTTGACAAAACAAATCTGTAACATCAGAAAAATTAATGACAATTGTTTTTTTTTGTGGGATGAGTAAAGCGACTAAAAAAATGTAGGTGAACTTAATCAATGAAAAAATTTCACCGCGAAAAACAAACAGAAGATTTGGGACAAATGAATTAATTTGAGATTATACAATTAAGCCTTAACTGATAAACGCCCTTGGTTGTTTGTTTCATGTTTTTCATCAACATGTATAAATTGAAAACAATGTAATCCGCCTAAATGTCTTGCTGAAATTTACCAAAATAGGAATCTGTTTTGATATAATCTATGATGGTCGTGTCACTAATACTAGATTTCCCAATATATTACATGAGACATATCTGATGCTGATAATCTACATAAATCACAACACTGCTCAAGTTGAATATGTTCAATGCTTTGTCAATTCAATTATTTACATTAAAGAATTTTATTTTAGTTAAAGAGACAACAAGATTATATTGCAATAAAATTCTGAGAAATAGGAAGTAAATAGCGAATGACATAACACAAAAAAAACAAGCGAAATACTCAGGCTTAATTTAGTTTCCATCCAACAGTATAATTCATTTGATAACAGACAGGTAGATTAGTGACTGTAGTATTCAATGTCCAACGATTGATCAGTGGCTTTGAGCACTGCTTCACAATGATTGGCTGTGATAACACTAGGTAAAAATGTCGCACTGAAATTTCAAACCAAGTTTAAGATACGAGAACTGAAAGTGAAAACTAGTTTATTACTATACTGATAATTAACAATGAAATATAACAAACTGAAATAGATGGATAACGGCCAACATGGTTGACACATTACAATACAGACATACGCAAATAGTGTGATATGAGTTGATCCCATTCTTATGGTATATAAATGTAATTAGACCGCAAATCTATTTGGAATTTGAATTACTTTTCTCACGATTGAACAATGTACAGGAAAAGATATTCATATACACCGAATAAATTAGCGATAACCCAATAGAATCAATATGTTTTACAAATGCTGTGGACAACGCGTCCTGAAATCAGGTTAAATCACCAATAGTAAGAAAGGCATAGTGAAAGATAAAATAGCAGTTGATGAAAAGCTATAAAATGCTTTGAAAGTAAGATGAAGGCCGATAGAATAGTGATCAGTTGTAGTAGTTGGTCTGATTAGGATAATCTACTCAGAAGAGATTCTTTAGTGTTATAGTATAGTAGCAGTTCAGCCTACTTAAGTTTCACCATTGAAGTCACCTTACATTGTACATTACTGTCTCATTAACTATATGGCATCGAGGATAACTATTGATTATACAGAGATATTATGGAAAAACCATAGCTTTGGTCTCACAGTTGAGAATTAAGTCAAACATACTACGGTGATATAGAAAAAGATTCAGAAGAAGCTACAATAAAATATAGCAAAAAAAACTGTAGAATGCCTAGTTAGCCAATAGGAGTGTATAAAGAAGAACTACTAATGTAATTCAATTTCTATTTAATGTATATAATAAAAAAGTTTTTATAAAATAGGTCAAATTAATGTCAGGATAACGAGGCACAATAGGTCATTACGCCGAGAAATGGAGACATACATGAGAAGAATGAACAAAAATTGGACAGAAATGGAAAGGGAGAACCAGAACAGAGTAGGTTGGAGAATACTAGTCCACGGCCTATGCTCTATCGGGGGTAACAGGCGTTAAGTGAAGTAAGTTAGTAAGAGGGACAGTAGGTAATGAAGAGAAAAGATAGACCGAATTACGGAAATAATGATACTGAAAGTAGCATAAAGCTAAAATAGACAAAAAAACAAATAACAGTCTAAAATAAAAGACAGAATAATACAGTGTGTGAGATTAGGAGCAATGTAGGAAATAAGGACATTTACATAACGCGATTGCTTTTGTACCACGTATCTCATAGTCTTCAAACGCTTATTTCAGCAGCTTTTTAGATTGTGAGAAGTAAGCTCGAACTCTTCCAGACACTCAAATAGGTAATCAGTGGGTGACATAGTTGATTGGTATAATTTATTGTCTTAGTAGGGATCCTATGGAACCATTAAAAATTATAATTTCTCCTCTTAAAAAATGATTTAAATTTCCTTACCGGTAATTACGTACAGGAATCCAAGAGACAGCAGTAGGTTTCAGACTTTCTGTGCTACAGACTCTAAAATACAAACAAATGATATTCAAAAATTTAAAGATTATTTAAAAGTATAAATAGAACTGAATATTTCCCCATTTGGCAGAAAAATGTATTGAGTTGGTAATCAACATATAATCATATGATTTATGAACAAACAACTTAAAGCATCAATTAAGCTGTTAATACGTTTTTCTAGACAGATTGTTCAGTATTCAGCTGTTGCCGGTGCCAGATCCCAAATAGAGTTTAACAGGAAGAAATCAAATGTAACATCATGCAATGATTAAGAAGGTTCACTTGTAACCTATTGATGGCGGACTAAAAGAGTGTCGTAATCTTCGTTGGACAATATAGTAAGGCTGTTAGCTGCTTCTGTCAAATGATGTATATATTATTGTTTAATTATATTGTCATACAATCTAGTCATCAGTCTTCATATAAAATTACAAGTTTATGATAATGATTTAAAAGTAACTGAAACAGCCCCTTCGAAGCTATTTATTTGCATAAATGGAATGATCAAAATTTGAGGCATAGAGACCTGACTTATCTCATTAATTATTATATCTCCGTTATTGAGTGCTGGGATAAACAATTTAATTCACGTTCGATAAATTCATAACATCAACGTTTGAGGTAACAATTGTTTGGTTAAATCGAAATAAATGACATAACTACAAAATCAATAAGCCAGCTTTACACGCAAAACTTCGTATGTATGTACATCAATTCAAATTGCCAAACCATATTGGCACAAGGATGAACTTGTCAATTCAAATCCCATACTGGTAGATACACCCGACCGAAGCTCCTACCTTGACGTGGTGGTCGGGCTTGCCTATCGTGATGACCCAATCGAGCTATACTGGCTGGAACTTATGTGTATGATGGTTCTACCATGTAAGGCAGGTCGATTGGAGAGCGATAAGACTAAAACCAGCTACTCAAGGTCTGAGGGCGAAGTCGTACTGCTGACTGCAGAGGGGTGTGACAGCAGTAAGGTGTTTCCCTCGGATAACCAGCATCTGCAGCGATGCTGCCTTCTCACAAGGAAGGAAGGGTTAGAAAAGGTCGACCCTAAAAATGTCACACCTCACCGATTTCCGTCTCCGGTGGTAAGGGTGCCCACTAAGGGCCTTTAAGAGCGGAGCTAATAATCGAGAAACCTTTCATAAAAAGGCCGTGCGTGACCGGCCTCAAGCAGTTGTTCCTTGGACTCTGCGGTCACGCCGCCAGGTCTCCAAGACCAACACTAATCTATCTTCCTTTTCAGGTTCCTCAAGAAACAACCTTCCACGATGTGGGCAGCAGGGAAGTGACAATCACCCTCATACCCGTAACAGCAGGCGAGACCGAATTGGCCAAGATCAAATCCTTCCTACACCCCCTAATACCTCTCCTATCTCCACGACCAACTCTTCCCTGATTCAATTATCACAGTGCACAGCTAATGCAAACGACGCGAGTTCGCGAAACGTCGTTCCTGGTCTCCTTAAACCCCGTTCCAAACTACATGTTGGAGCATTCAATGTACGGACATTGTGTCAAATAGGGCAACAGGTATCATTAGCTAGGAATTTAGAATCTCGTGCCATCGATGTGTGCTGCGTCTCGGAAATGCGCATACAGGATCCGAGTAGCATCATTCACTTGACCTCACCATGTAAAGATAAAGAAGCAGCTCGATTTACCCTTCGTGTATCCGGAGCCCTGATGCTGCTTCCAGGGGCCTCGCTAGTGTAGGTATAGTATTGAGTCGTAGGGCAGAACAATCTCTCCTTGACTGGATCCCAGTAGATAGTTGCTTATGCACCGTCCGACTAAACGGGACGGTAAGGATTCGAAAGGATAGGGACACCCGTCGTTGCCTCTTCGTCTTATCTGCCTATGCTCCCACTAACTGAAGTTCAGACGATGTAAAAGATGAGTTTTACAGAAAGCTTTCGGACCTCCTCCAAAAAGTTAGGCGCTGTGATGTAGTAATAACGGCTGATGACTTTAATGCTCAAGTAGGTATACTAAGTGAAAATGAAAGACACCTGGATGGATGTTATGGTGTCGCGGGTCAGAGACCAGACAATAGCGACCGTCTGTTGCAACTATGCTCACATAATCGCCTATTTCTAGTAAACACTAACTTTAGGCATAAGGAAAAGCATCTCTTGACCTGGCGACCTCCAAAGTCGTCTCAACGTTGGACCCAACTAGATCACATCGCCATCAGCCACCGATGTAGGGGTTCGATAGAAGACTGTCGCTCGTTCTGGGGCATATGTTTAGATTCAGATCATGCCCTAGTGCGAGCACGTATTTGTTTGAGGCTTACTGGACGTAGGAACGACACCGTAAGAAAGCCTCTTAGGGCTTTACTTGATGATAATCAAGCTAAGAAAATATTTCAGGAACTAGAAAGACAGTTAGGCGACCGTTTAAGCGATTCCCTTCAGGAGGCAGGTTGGAATGATATCAAAAAGGCTGTGGAAACAGCAGTGATATCTGCTAGTAAGGTTGACCATAAGGTTAGAATGAAGCCGTGGATCTCAGTAGCATCCACCGATCTGATGGATGCCCGAAAACTCATCCCACCTGGCTCTTAACATGATGAAGAACGAAGTCAGCATAGGCGCAGGCTGATAAAAAGCATGCGCAATGACCGTGAACAGTGGTGGGCATCGAAAGCAAAAGCGATGGTAAAGGCAGCGGCGATCGGCAACAGTAGACAACTTTTCCGACTTATCAAGGAAACTGGTATTAGGAATCCTAGTGTAAGTGAGACTATCTCAGAAAATGACGGGACTATTATGTATTCTCAATCCAAGAGACTGGATCGATGGGCAGAACACTTTAGGGATCAGTTCAACTGGCCTCGAGCCACTCTTCGGTTACCCACGATCTCCAGTCATCCTCAATGGCAAATCGACGTAAGTCCCCCTAGTCTTAATGAAGTTGAAAAAGCGTTAGGAAATCTGAAGCGAGGGCGAGCTGCGGGTCCTGATAGACCGACCCCTGAGATATTTAAGGATGGTGGTCCAGTTTTAGCAACTAGGTTGACCGAGATCTTAGGTAGAATCTGGGAACTGGACGTAATCCCATCTGACTGGTCTCAATCACTGATTGTCCCAATCTATAAGAAAGGACAAAAGTCCTCTTGTGACAATCACAGGGGAATAAGTCTAACTAATATAGTTTCTAAATTGCTAGCCTCGATAGTATATGACGCCTAACTGCAGCTCGTGAAGAGCAGACTAGAGGAAACCAGGCTGGTTTTCGACCTGGACGTGATTGTATGGACCACATTTTCACACTACGACAGGTCCTGGAACACAGACACACATTTAGGCGTCCTACAATAGTTGTTTTCCTAGACCTGAAAGCAGCATTTGACTATGTAGATCGTGAGGTTCTGTGGCAGTGTCTGTCATTGAAAGGTGTACCAAAGAAGTACATCAACATTATATAAGCTCTCTACTTAAACACCACTGGTTGAATGAGAGCTTATGGCGAACTCTCACCGAAACTCTTCACTTCAAGTGGTGTCCGTCAGGGATGTCCACTTTCTCCATTCTTGTTCAATTTTGTCATAGACATGCTCCTAGATATAACCTTATCCTCGTCTGAATTTTCAGGAGTAGACCTTTTACCAGGTGGCTCGCTTATTGACTTAGAATATGCCGATGACATAGTCCTACTTGGTGAAGACGCTGACAAAATGCAGAGTCTTCTCACTACCCTAAGCAACAATGCAAGCATGTTCGGGATGCGGTTTTCCCCCTCGAAATGCAAAATGTTGCTTCAAGACTGGGTTGCATCGGCACCTGAACTAGTGACAGGGAGTGAAGTAGTCGAACGTGTTGACCACTTCACTTATCTCGTGATTCTCGTCATTTCCGATGGTCTGGTGACTGACTAAACCTCAGCTCGGATACCGAAAGCTCGATTGGCTTTTGCCAACCTGCGTCACTTACAGCACAGGCGAGATATCCGTTTGCTGACTAAAGGACGAGTGTACTGCGCACCAGTTCGCTCCGTCTTACTTTATGGATGTGAAACATGGCCAGTGAGCGTAGATATTCGTAGGTTACTAGTTTTCGATCATAGGTGTCTTCGAAGCATTGCTCGTACATCGTGGGACACCCGAGTGAGCAACGCTGTTATTAGGAAACGGTTGCTAGGTAATAATGGCGGATCAATAGATGAAGTAATGAAACTTCACCAGTTGAGGTGGTTCGGACATGTGCTGCGTATGCTTAACCACCGACTGCCTCGACGAGCTTTGTTTTGTAGTGTTGGAGTAGATTGGAAGAAAGCTAGAGGCGGCCAGACCAAAACATGGCAGAAATCCATGAAGTTATTGACGAGTGGTCTTAGCCATGTCGGTAGTTGTCGACTACCTGGTTGGGGTCCGCGAGATGATAATAATCGATGGTTAGAGACCTTGAATGACACGGCTCAAAATAGTTCGCAATGGCGCCGGTGCATTTATTCTTTGTATTCTCTCAAATCTTAATCTTCTGGATTCTCCAACACCTCTTGTTTTGACTTTCTTAACTTTTCTCACTGAATCATACTTCTTGAATAACATCTTCTAATCCTCCCCTCTCCGATTACTTCTAATACCTTTACTACCTCTTCTACTATTGGATTTGAATTGACAATTACATCTCTGTGCTGATGTGGTGTGGCAACATGAACTGATGTACTTACGTACATCTGACTGACTGACTTATTACAGATCTTTTAAATAAAAGTATCAAGGACAGGCACAAATCTCAAGAACAGTAGCTTCAGGGATACTGCCTACTTACAAACAGAAAGGGACAGAAAAGACTGACCCGAAAAACTACAGCGCACTTCAGCCTATTATTTTCCAGACCTGGTGGTAAGGGTTGCAAAGCAGAGTTAGTTAACTGAAAGCTACGGAGAAAATTCTGTTAGACGTACCTCATGTAACTACGCACTAGGTTTGCCTTACAAGATCGAAAATCACTTCCAATCTCATCTACTTTGGAATTCACCAAGAAATACTTACACCGGATATGGGCAGAACTCCGGTTAGTTCTAATCACACTGTTACATAACATTGATGATAACATTTATCTGACAGAACATATTCTATCATTGATCAAAAACAAGAAGCAAGAACATGAAGATTCGATGAAAATACTTACTTAGGATACGATGGTCTTGGAACAGATTCAAAGAGCTTTGCAGTTTGTCCATAAATAACAGGTATTATTACTGGTTGCGTAGCAGGAAGGTCAGAAGTTGGAGGATTGGATAAACCGGAACTATGGCGCGTTCTTGAGTCAAATTTTAGATTGGTGACATCAGGTGTGAAAGGAAACCCAGAGGGTGAATTCGTTTGGAATGGGGAAAACACTTCATTTGGTAAAGTAGAAGGATCAACTTCTTCAGTTTCATCACCAATATGATGGAAAACTTCGACGGTTGGTTGGAATTCTTTTACAACATGAGTACTTCCCAAATCAATACTTTTAGACATAACATCTTGAAACGCAGCCTGTCCACCAGAACCTAGTTCATCTACATTTACTTTATCCAACAGCATATATCGTTGTGAAAGTTCATCGACCATGCGTCGTTCAGTGGATACAGTATAACCCTCAGAATGACTTGATGTAGATGAAGGCAGTTTAGATAATGGAATCATTGTCTGACTCAATTTTGGAGAATCACATGTCGACGGTTTAGCAATGCAAACAGAATTCGGATCTTTTGTTTCTTGAATAATTGAAAGCTTTTCAGTCTTCTACAAAAAAACGATCAAAAGTCTTATACACAAGGCGACCTATTTTTTGTAGGGACTTAATATAAAAGGCTACGGGAAGTAACTAAGCTTATTTTCCAGTCGAGTCTTTTGTATCCATGTTCAGATTTCGTCAGATACCACGCCATCAACACTGATGAGACTCCCGAGATAAGTGAGGCGGTCGACATGCTCAACTGCTTCACTCCTTATCACTAGTTCAGGTGCCAACGCAAGCCATTCTTGAAGCAACATTTTGCATTTAGAGGCGGGAAAACCACATCCCGAACATGCTTGCATTGTTGCCTAGAGTGCTCAGAAGACCGCATTTTGTCAGCGTCTCCATCAAATGTCATCGGTGTATTCTAAGTCAACCAGCAAATCTCCCGGTAAAAGTTTAATTCCTGAGAAGTCAGACGATGAAAGTGTTGTATCTAAAGACACATGAATGACAAAGTTATACGAGAATGGAGAAAGTGAACAGCCCTGACGGACACTGCTTGAAATAATCAATTCCGATGACAGTTCACCATAAGCTCTAATTCGACCTGTAGTGTTCGAGTTGAGAGCTTGTTTAAGGTTAATGTACTTGTTTGGTACACCTTTTAATGACAGACACTGCCACAGAATCCCACGAACAACAGAGTGGAATGCCGCTTTAAGGTCAAGAAATACTACTATTGTGGCGTGTTTGGACGTGCGTCTTTGTTCTAGGACCTGACGTAGTGTGAAAATCTGGTCTATACATCTATATCCAAGTCGCAAACCACCCTGGCTTTCTCAAGTCTGCTCTTCATGAGCTCTAGTTAGGCGTCTAAGTATTATCGAGGCTAACAATTCAGACACTATATTAGTTAGACTGATTCCTCTGTGATCGTCGCAAGAGGACTTTTGTCCTTTCTTACAGACTGGGACAATCAGTGATTGAGACCAGTCGGATGGAAATATACCTAGTTTCCAGACTCTACCTCAGTGCTCTACCTCCCTTTAGATTCCCTATAGCTTTCTCAACTTCATGTAGACTAGGAGGACTTAAATCGATTTGCCATTCAGGATGACTGGGGATCGTGGGTAACCGAAGAGTGGCTCGAGGCCAGTTGAATTGATTCCTGAAGTGTTCTGCCCATCTATTTAATCTCCTGGGTTGAGAATGAATAGTAGTCCCACCGTTTTCTGAGATAGTTTCACTTACAATCGGATCCCTACAGCTACATATCACCGCTGCGTTTTCCATCTCACTTGCTTTCGCTACCCACAATTGTTCGCGATCATTGCGTAGGCCTTTTGTCGGCTTGCACGTAAGCTGACTCCAATTTTCGTTATGTTTAGAGCCAAGTGGGATGAGTCTCCGAGCATCTATTAGTTGGGCAGATGCTACTGAAATCCACTGCTTCTCCCTAACCTTATAGTTTACCTTACTAACAGATATCACTGCTGTTTCCACAGCTTTTTTGATATCGATCAAAGCCAATGAGAAAAAGGAATCACTTACACGGTCGTCTAACCGTTTTTATAGTTGTTCCTGAAATATGTTCTTAGCTTTGCTATCATTAAGTCGGACCCTAAGAGGTTTCCTTGCGGGTTCTTTCCTACGTCCGTTAAGCCGCAAACAGATACGCGCTCGCACTAGAGCATGATCTGGATCTAAACAAGTGCTTAAGAATAAGCGGCAGCCTTTGATGGAGCCTCTCCACAGACGGATGGTAGCAATTAGGTCTAGTTGGGTGCGTCGTTGGTTGGCTTTGGGGGTCGCCAGGTCAAGAGATGTTTTTCCCTATGCTTAAAGTTAGTATTTGCAAGAAATAGGCGATTATCTGAGCATAGTTGCAGCAAACGGTGGCCATTATCTGATCCTTGAGTTACGCTACGATACATGCCTCATGATATAATGGTTTGTCTGAGGATGATTATGATCTCAAGTTATCAGCTTGTATACGACGTTTCAGGACAGCATAAACGAGGTAAAGTAGACTATTATTCGAGAGACCTATCCTTCGATATATACACGGATATTCCGCTAAAGACATAAATGGGGCGATATGCGAGGTTTCGAAAAAAACCCTCAGCATTTACGGAGTCAAATAAGCATGAGTATAAATCGATTTCTAAACAAAACGACACGATTATAAGAATTAATGCAAAAAGCGTAAGAATCGTATATTGATTAAGCCTGAGAAAAGACAAACCTCGAAAGATTCTGTGGATCGACGGGATTTTACGATAGGATCCTTTTTCTGCACAGGAAACTCACTGACCGTTGATGATCCAACGTGTCTTACTTCAGGGTATATTGCATCACAACCCTTATGAACCAGTTCTATATTGCTTTCACATTGCAAACCGCATGTGGTAAATCCTCGTAAATCCTTTTTCGGAGAAGTACCTTGACTACGTAAGACAGGAGACTCTGTTAAACAACCAACATGAACACCCAACTGACGCTTTGTCATAGTAGATCGACTATTTAAAACGGGCATAACCTGAACAAATTCAGAAACCTTTGGTTGAGGGGGATGAGTAGTTAAGTCCGGGTTCAAAACGATTTTTTCTGTCTCCTTCTGGATCGGTGAACAACCACGTGATTGGCTGATTATATGAGATTGAATGCCCACGTGACAAACAGACTTTTTAATAATTGATAACAAAGTACTAACAAATTCTTCACGATTTTCATAAAAGCTTCGTATAACTTTGTGCACAGTATTTCTACTTTTATCTTCCATTCCGGGGAAAACACGATCCAACCACTGTCTAGTCATTGACTCTGTTTCATAAAAACGGCAGCCGAATTCGCGCGTTTCCGATTTTGGACAGGAAACTCCAACTTCTTGAACAGATGGACAAACATTGACACCAACGCATCTAAATTTAGATGAACTGATAGGACAAGCCATAGTTGCCGTGGTACGTTTACTAGCTTCCGTTGGTTGTACGGCAATATTATGATTAAGTTGTTCTGACAAAAAGCGCTTATAGAAGTAAGACTCTAGTTTAGACCAATATTCTGAAGGAAACTGGCTTTTATCAATTCCTTTGCTCAAATTAACAGGGTGGCTTGTATTAGGAAGAACATTTACAACAGGGTCAGTTTTAGTCTTTTTATATGTCCGGACCTCCTCTTCAACAATTTCCTCTACTTCGTCATCAGTGCTATCAATTTGTCCACCGTTTTGAATTTGATGAGACTCTTTAATTTCATCTTTCTGATGTAGACGTACATTTTCTTCATATAAATAGCGTAAATTATCCTGCAGAATAGGGACTTGACTAGCCTCCTCCTCTAAGTTTTTTATTTGCTTGTGTAATTCATCGATTTTCGACTTATAACTTTCTTCAACGTTTGTTGACGTATATTCTGGGGGATTATTTACAATTTCGTCAGTATACTCAGGTCGAGATTCAGACTGCTCTCCACGTACTGATATACATGTCCCATAAATGAAGAATTCGTCTTTATCTTCGTCATTGACGCCAGGCAAAGTATACCTGAGTACGTTTTTATCTAGAGATTGATGTATTCTGACAGAATTATAGGATGGGTTATTAGAAATAGGAGGTACATCAGGATACACATGATCCCAGTCAAAACGTCGTTCAGGAATTTCCATCTGAGACAATGTTTAGTTGTATTCTGTAGTGTTTATTTCCACTCGGAAATCTGAAAAGATTGAAATTGGAAGTAGATGATGTCAAAACAGATAAATTTGATGCACAATATATATTGTGAGTACTATGGGTAGTGAATGGTAATACACAAACAAGACAGTTTACCCGGATAATAGGCTGTCTGGAAGTAAAATTATTGCTCAGTATCATTGGCAAGTGCGGAGCTCAAACACACGCAATTTGGAGTGCTATAGTTTTCATATCTCCAAAGGGAAAAGGGCCGGACTTTAAAACATACCGTTTGCAGTTTGTAACTATGAATTAATAGATTTCCGAAGTGTGTCCAAGAAATGCACATGAATCACACCAAAGGGCAATAATAAAAAACCTTTGAGCCTTGATTAGTTGATTGTTCAAATTTTTTAACACCATACTTTAATCAGATTAACTTCTCGGAGAAAGTGATTTGACGAGACTAGCGACTGTATTATTTATAAGACTATTGTATGCTTTGGGGCTGTGTTCGACTTCTGCACACATTTCTGAGAAATGAAAGTCAGAATACCTGAATGTTTATTCAGTAGTGGTCTGTTGGTGACCTCCAGATTGACCAAATACTTCAACTCAAGGGTATAGAACGGACTAGTAAGTATCATCAGTTGATGCAGAACTAGAACAAGTCCGACAAAAACCAGTAAAATCACTGAAGACAAAATGTGGTGATAAAATCTCACAAGTCTATTAGAATAATATCTTGCTATACCATAAGAACCGTAGGAATACACAAATATTAGACCATATCTTTTGCAACAGACGAACCAAATCAACGAACATCCATCTTAAAACAGTCTAATGATAGGAATTTCAAAAGTGAATTTGGCTATTGAATAAACAGATGAAGAAAGACACAGTAAAATTATCACTTAAAGGAACAAGTATGTGCACAGAAAATCACGTTGCCATTCTGGGCAATATATAACCTTGTAGATTTTTAGCCAACATACGAACAATACCTGAACGTCAAACTACCTAAACAGCATTTCGTGTGCCCGCCTAAAAAAGTCCACATAACCTTCACCTAAAACCTAGAAAAACAAATTCGCCTTCAAGCAGCCGAAAACGTCACTGAATAATGTTAGGGATCGTGTATAAAAATTTATTTTCAGCGTTCAAACACATCTATGAAGTCACATCGACCTTGACAAAGACCAGTCTGTGCAAACAACAGTTTAGCTCATAATTCAAAAATATGACGAGACTCGGAAGAATGTCCGCTGAATCTAACAGGATAAAAGATGTTTTGTTGTACCAAATGACTTCGCAGTATGATGACCCAATATTGTGGATCGATAACTACGTATCAAATCCATCAGTATCTGAAACAGAAATCAATCAACTGAGGTCAGTAATGCAAAGAGATCAAGCACTCAAGAAGTTAGATAATGAGAGAATATAGTGAGTCAAAACTTATTATACAAGATTCGTTTAAAAGCGAGAATTTTACTGAGTATAGTCGATGGAATAGATTGAATAAGCCTAACTTTTTATTATTGGTTTGGTAGCAACTTTAATTTATTTTTAAAATTTTGACATGGTTTCATCACTAGGAAATAATAGAACACGGTTAAATGTACCAACAAACATGCCATAACCTCGGAAAATCTGCCTTTCAATGACTCGTAAAGCGATTGATTTTCTTTTCATTTTTACTATACAAAATACTGACACATCTACGCACCAAATTGGCAGCTGTAATAGACTACCCTTACTAAACGCTTGAGGCTAAGATCTTTATTACCGTGTTTTCTGGTAAAAGCCATACGCAATGCGCACTTCCAACTTCGCGAGTGCGATTCGAACCAGGTGACTTCGCCAAAGCGTGCGAACGTTTGACCTCCTGACCACTGACCTGCTATCCGGTGGGGTTAATCGGTGCCATCTCTGTTATCAAAAGGTCTAGCATGCGTGTGCCGAAAAATCGACCAGTAGTTGCCTCAAGATAGAGATTAACAACCACCTCGTGAGCGCAACACAACACAATACCCAACTAACCATTATAAAAGAATCAGGCTAGTGTTGCTTTAGCACGAATGGCTCAAAGTTGTTGATTGAAAAGACTGCACCACCTTTCATGCACTAAAACAAAAAATGATAGGTTGACTAAAGCAGTTTAGTAACTATCGCTCTTGGGGTTCCACCGTACACACTTAGAAGGAGATTTCAACACTCGTCCACGAATTATTGCAAATAGAGTGAGACCTTCACAGGTTGGTTCCAAAAGTGGTTATCCACAATCATTGGATAAATTGAGCTCGTGTTTGACGTCTTTTGGTAGAGTATGAATGCCCATCGAACTCGGATTAATTGTAAGCAAATGATCAGCTCCTAGTTGGGGATGTCGTTGTTCACACACATACAGTAAGTAGCGACCATGGCGCAGTCATGTTTTATACTGTCATAAATGAAATATTCAAGCGGCGTGAAAACAAACATTACCTTTGCTACATTGGAGCAAACTACACGTCCATGATTGAACACCTTTTAAACGCCCCATGGCTATCAGTTCTGGATCACTGGTGCACAGTGAGACATCATTCGGAATGGCTTCCTACATAAAGTATGTCAGACAAATCACACAAGGAAAGAGAAGAAAATGGGTCATGCGAGACAGAACGCTTGATACAGACGATAAGGCTAGACTAGTGATAGTCGAAAGTCTGTGTGAGGACTCGCGATCGTAGTTCTCATAAGGAATTAAGAACTAGATGCAATGCCGAAGTCCAAAGTGATGAGAGACAGATGCAGGTGAAGCAAGCAGGCAAAATACAGGTGAACCCAATTACCTCTTTAGGTTCGTGACCAAAAGGAAACATATGAACCCAACATCCGAATGGAGAATATCTTACCGACTTAGAGATGGCATTGATTTTTAACCCCAACTACATTGACCAGGTGAACCAGGTACTCACAAGTTCACAGCACTACTCAACTCCTACAGAGCGATGTCATGGGGAATATTTGATTTGCTGGTTCTGGCAAGACTCGAATATTTGCTCTCAAGAAAGTCACATCGATGTGATAGAACACACTGTATGAACCTTAAACAATATGTGGAAGCCGTCAGTCCTCCGGTATGTGACCTGTTCAGGGTTTCGATGTAGTCACACTAACCTCTTGTAGAATCGAATCAATCTACTGTCTCCAATTTTCAAAGAATGAGGTGACGGAGATCGAACCTGCTGTCCACCAGTCGCAATACTACCAAAACCGTGTAAGGTGATGAAGGATTGGTGAATGAACAAATGAGGAAGTTTATCGATAGAGAAATTCTGCATGAAAACTAACACTAGATTGGAAAGTGCAGTTTTCTCATAGCAATGGACAGCTGTGGTACAGAAAACTACTAGCCCACGAGATATTTCTTGACTTCGGTGTGATTTCAACACAGTAATTTACATGCTTCTAAGAATGAATGCCTTCGAAACTACCAAAAAATTGAATGTTTCGAACCAAGCTAAATGGACTGCATTTGCACCAGGGAGTCTGAACGTCAGGGGTTTCACTGGAGACCGTATTGAGGCGACTTTTCATTCTCGTCGGATGAGGCAAGGAGCTGCATGCCCATAAGAAGCGAAAGAGACTAATTTGAGCTTCCAGAGGATCTTGCGACAATAGGGTCATGAGTAAAAGATAACGGGTTAAAAGCTTACCCTGTTGAAGACTGCTCCATGTAACCCAAACTACTCACGTTCTCTGTGGAAGCTTGCTCCCAAACGTCTCTTCAGAGCGCGGTTTCGGTCTAGCGATAACAGTGAGACTGAGCATCCACTCAAACAACGTTGGGGATGCGGTTGAATCAAAGGCAGCTCTTCATTTTTTTCACGGACAAGTTCCTGCAGTTGATCAAAAATTGTTCGTCACTACCTTTTAACATACTTGCGGTTCCACTTTGAAGTGCACAATGTTTGTACGCCCTCTTCTCTGCACCATTCTTCTGCACTTTTGCACTGAGTGCAAAGCGAAGTAATGAAAGTGGTGATAGAGTTAAAAAGTAAAACATGTGTAGACTTTACATTATTGTCTCTCACATGTAGGAGAAACTAAGTGATCCAATAATCGCATTAAACACATTATGTTAGCCGGATCACCCCTACACAAACATCCTATTAAAACATCATTATCAAACACTTTGAGGTCGCCCTTGAAAATGTGCACACTCAAGAACAAGTAACCATGTATGCATCCGCTTTTTTGGATTATTAGCTGTCCCTTATTTGAATTCTGTCTCAGCCAGAGTGACTACAATCTCTTAGTGGGTAGCTTTGAGATACCTGATAAATATGTACTTGCCTACAAATTATTATCTCTTGCTTGGATCAAATGTAACTGATGTATCTGAGGACGTATTTATGGTCATAATTGCCATTTCTTTAGATCACTTAGTCATTCTTTCTTGCTTACTGTGATCTCTGTTTCCACTTTTTATCCTTGTATTTCGTCTCACACCATCTGACTTGTTAGTTTTTTCGCTTACTTGTTTCCGAGATATTCGTCTTCCGTTTATCATTATCATTTTTATCAAATTATTATTCACACTACAGCCAATGGATTATCGTTGGGATGATGTAACAACTGCTAGTATCCGGATAGCCTATTAATTTGGAGCAACTAGTGTACAATAAACACTATCAGGTACCTGTAACCGTGTGGAAACACGAGGAAATGAGTGCAAAGAAATTAATCGGTTTATATTAGCTCGTGATGTTGGCTGTCTAAATACTAATTCTTTGAGACTCTTATATGAAAAGGAAATTGGTTTTTGTAAAGAAGCTATATTGTTTATCAAGTCGTAAGCCTCTCTGTTAATGAATGTCAAGATATAACGTGAAAATTTATAATCTTTAATATCTTTTCTTGTTAAAATGTAGAGTACAAACTTCTCCGTGTTCTCCCATAATGTTTCGGTATTTGAATATATATCCGATCGTTCAGTCACAGGTTTAATTAGGAAACTAATTTGCTCTTCAGGAACATTTGTATTTTGTACGCCAATCTAACAGACATATTTGAACAAGTATTGAAGTGGGAAGGAGCAGCATGAGGATAATTGGACAAACTATAATTATAATTTGAATTTAGTGCACAATAATGTACAAAAGAATCACGGATGTATACAAATATCATAGAAGGTTTACGCTAATCTTCGATAAGTGGACGTTGATTTGTTTTCAGGTAATGGAGTCAAAACAGAAACGAAGTGAAATTTCTATCATCGTGTTTCCCAGGCTTCCATCGCGTACAAAAAATACATTGTTCTATAAGTCCCGGATTTCATCTGATAGCTAACATCTGTTATCTTCATGGAAGAAATTTTGAAACATGAATGTACTAAACCGGTGAATATCAGAAAAAGTATTCCGACATATCTGATAGCTTGTAGACATAACCAGTTATCTGTTTTGGCTCTTGCATGAAAGTTTACAAAAGTGGTAATATCCGAAACTCACAGTAATACATTTGTACCCAGACGGGAGACATTTAATTGATGCACCCCAGTTGAGCAAATCAAAAAGTCCGTTATGGACAACGGGTCCTCTGTAATGACTAGGAAAAATACGCAAAATACCAGGGATGAGTAGTAACTGACGAACAAATCTATACCAATATTACTGTTATTATTTATAATCACAAATTAAACCTTATTTACCTCAAAAATGCTTCCTCCAGTTTGCACTAATACTTACTACACCAAACTTTAAAGATCAACTGGAAATAATAAAGCCTTAAAATTAGGAATATTCAATGGTTGTACAAAAAATAACTAAGAGGTTTTTGACAGTCTGAAGATGATATCCTAACCCAAAAAGGCAGAAAGATCATTGATTGAAGAGCTCAAAAGCGAAATGTTTACTATTTCAAACAAAAAATCTTTTTCATCAGAGAAATAAGCACCCATCTCAGTGTGCACACACTTGGCTCATTATATCAGATAAAATCAGTGAAAAGAAATTAGAACAACCGGAATTCAAAATTCTGGGTAAAAGAAATATGAAACTGTGGTCAAAACCTCAACACTATCAAAGAGTTAAACACACTCAAAACACAAGTACAAAAATCATTGCGAATAAATCAAAAATAATTCGAAATATGTTTATTTAAAGACACCAACCGACTAAATAAAACATACATAACAGAAGAATGATGAAAAGGAAACGCACACAAAGTTAATTCAAACAGATTCTGAAATGATTACTTTCAATTTATTTGTGTTTTACAAAACAGCAATGTTATTTATACATCCTGTCATAATTTACAATAACTGGTATATAATAAGTTATATTTTAAAGGGCATAATGTAGTTTATGTATTCGGTAATCTGAAATCATGAGGAAGAGTGGTAGAATGCAAGGATCATATGTGAATCAACCTGATATCACGATAGCACTGAGACAGAATTATTGCACACAGCCAAAGTGCAATATCCAAACATTGTGCACATACTGTCCAGTGATGTGGAACAGTGTGTACGTTGCAACTTGATCGAAATAATTCAATTAGCATTAGGACTTAATGTGACTTAGTGTGGACGACGGACGACATCAAATTTCTAAAGCTTATGAAACGAATTGCTTCGACAAGATTACTAAGTACTTAGTATTTAAAAGTATCATTATACTAAAATGATAAAGAATTTCTTCATTAATTCCAGTAATTTAATTGGGTCATTTCCTTCCAAACTACAACCTGAACAGCTACTCAGTAATATGAACCATCTACGCAGCAAAATTCCAGCAGTTCCTGGTAGTGGCTTTGTTTCAACCTGCACCACACTTATCCAGCCTAATGACATAATCCCAGTCGTGGATGACGATGGTAATTCGAGTTTAAAGGATATTCGCAAACGTAGATCATATGTGACATTACGAACATGCAGAGTTTACTCCAAATTCTCAAAGTTATGTCCAGCATGTTTACATCAGTTTAATTCGTTGATAGAAAAGTATCAATGTTTGAAATGTGCTCGTACTGTGTGCCGAAATTGTGCTCACAAAATTTCATTGACAAATTCTGATATTTTATGTAAAGAGTGTTGGGACATTGCGTGAGTACTTGATTATTCATTACAAATTCTATAGTTGATTTCTGATATATTAATTGATTACTTAAACCGTTGTTTTTTGAGTGAGTTTTAATTACTAATTAATCGTTGTCTCTAGTTTAATAACTTTGTTTATTTCATAACACTTTACAATAATCTACCATTGGTAACTAACTATTATTTATTGAAACACAAGTTCATTAAATGTCCCGTAAAAATCATTGAATGCACTATTAGACAGAAATATTTAGCTAGTGTCAGAATAAATTTACGGAAATATTCAAGTATTTTAATATGCTTTCAATACAATGTGTAATAAGAAATGCTATAAATACTGTTGTTGTCATGGTGGAGAAAATTTATAGCTCAGGTGGATGATTGTGGTGGAGTTTCATTCTCTGAGCTGGATGTTTTGGTTGTGAAGCTTTCATTGTTCTTCTGAACAACATCATCAGCACAAACTTCAGATGGAAGTGAAGTATTCGAATTTCTCCACGTTTGACCTGTAGCTTGTTCTGGTAACCTCGATCCCGATTGGTTGCTATTGACCTGGCCAATCAGCAATCAATAAACACATCGACATTGATCCAATTTATCAACTAAGCAGAAAAATCATAGGTGACACAGGATCAAGAAACAGATCAAAGGGTGATTAAATTAAAATAAATGTGCAAAGAAAGAGAGATTTAAGGTCAGTGACAACCAATCAAGATCGAGGTTAACAGGAAAAGCTACAGGTCAAACGTGGAGAAATTCGAATACTTCACTTCCATCTGAAGTTTGTGCTGATGATGTTGTTCAGAAGAACAATCAAAGCTTCACAACCAAAACATACAGCTCAGAGAATGAAACAACACCACGATTTGTCGTCATTTTGCAGAGTGGGCCAAAGTGAACAGGAAGTTAACGATCAAATTATCTGAAGTATACTGAACTTCAGATATAATGAGAAGATTTTTACAGACAATTAAGATACAGTACCTAGAACTAAAGCAAAGCATCGGAGCACATTTTTTTTGTGATGAAAGATATATCGTAAATGAGTTATTCCAAACATTTAAATATGCTATATCTAATGGCACGTTTTAATCTGTCACATTTAGGACTTCAGTAAAGCAGAGATCTATGATAAATGATATATACCATTTGCTTATGAACAATAACATATACATAAACTTCAATATATATCTCTGAATGTTTATGAACGATAGAAATTTGAATGTTACCGATTTTATTTCGATATTCTAAAACATTAACATTACAGCTTATATACATGAAATAGTACTCTACATATAATCAGTAAAAATTAAATTTTTTGTAATCACTGTTTACAATTTTCCAGTCACAGTATAAATTTGAGTGAAGTAAATATGGAAAGTAAATGCATTTCGACGAGTTCACTGACTGAAGTTGTACAAACGTATTTATAATATAAGCAACTTCAAACAAAAAATGATTTTTTTTCCATAGGCTATCAGCCATAAGCCATAGTTTTGTAATTTTTTAACTCTTCAATTCTGTCGGTTCTTTCTGAGTAGGTTCTCTTATGCTGTTATCTTTTACACATTTTTGTTTCGTGTTCTGATAACTTTATTTTGTGAGAAAACTTTTGGAAGTCATCGGTTCTGATTCTAGTAGTAATGATTATCATTAATGTATCCTAATATAAAATACATGATTTCATGGTATGAAAATTATTATTACTATTAATAAACCCTCAACATTCAGCATGTTTGATCGTGTTGTAGCAGAGCAAATTTAACAAACACTACATCCAAGTCAACAATAAATTTAGATGACTGACTGTGATTTATTAATGTCATCGTGTACTAAAGCTGGTTTTATTGTTTTGAGTGATGGCTTAAAATGGCTTTAATAAATAAGGATGATTCAGCGAGTGTATAGTAATTGTTTTACAATCTAGGATTCAAAAAATATAGTAAACGCTATAATTTAATTCTACCAGGATATACGGGATAATAATCAGTAAATATGACTAACAGTATAGGGACCTTGTGAAGATGAACATCATTTACTGGTATCACAAACTGATTTTAGTCAAACAATTATTGAAAATCAGAAAATATTGGAAAATCTTATGGTCATAGAACAGGAGTTCCACAATCGGACAAAACAGTTATTTAATGCTCATCAGTTATTTTTTATTGGTTGTCTAACCAAGTTCAGATCGTAATGACAGTGAAATATAATTAATCAATGTTAATCATTTTGACAAGATAAAGTGGCAAATTGTTTTCTCATAAAATTCACTTAATATAATTATAAAATACCATAAATAAAACTAATGTTACTGACAAAAATTGATTTTCGCTATTCAATCATCCAACGATCACATGTTAGTCAAAAGACTTGCAAAAAACAAGAAAAAAATCTGACCAATCAATCATCCTTTTTTTTTGTACTTTTGTAACAGTTCGTAACAATTTAATGCAACTAAAACAGATCATATCATTCCATTAAAAATCGATTAGAGTGAAATAATAAATATAAATCTGTACTATAAATAATGACTATGCTTATGAATACAGCTAATAAAGTAAATGGTATTATTTTATTAGGCTATTTCTGAACAATATTACCTTATAATTGTTAGACATAAAATGATCTTGACTTAAAACACCCTACTTGACCTTTGAATAATGTAAATACCACAGAGATTCTATAAATGTTTTCAAGTAATAGCAAATGGGATTCCACTTTGAGTATCAGAGATTCATACCTTCAGTATGATAGTTTAGAATTGCTAATGTAATAAATTTTTGATTACTTTCTGTGAATTGTGAGTAATTTTTAAAGATAATCAAACTTATAAACAAATGCTTCAGATAAACAGTTTTGACAATTTTTAAAACAGAATAGAAAGTTGAAAATCGATTCTAAAATACATCAGTTGGTACATAAAAACCTGAGAAATTGTAAACTATTTCACAAGTTTACTCTAAAATATCTAGAATGTCTTGTATTGTACAATTAGTCTTTCATATTGTTTTTTATCATTTGTTTAACAGGTGAGAATCATATGTGCAGTTATAAATTAAATTTATGTCAAAAATATTAAAAAATATAGAATGGTATCGTGGTAAAAAGAATAGATCTTTAAAAGAAAGTTTATTTTTAACAGTAGTATCATGATAATGGAAATAAAATTATTTCAGTGGTTAGATAATTAAAACCTACGTCGAAGTGTACTTTTAAAGGAAAAGTATTCGAAACAGTTTCAAAACTTCCATCAGAAGCAGTCTACATTGAATGATAATGAACACATTTTTGAAGTTTCATGTCGTGAACTGATGTAAGTTATTCCGAGTGTTCTAGTGACAAAACGTGACAAGTTGAGTCTTAGTATGTTGGGCTTGAGACAGGTATCGTCAATTTCAATGGATGATGACAGCTGAATATTGAAAATTGACTGAACTCAGAAAGTTAGACTATTTGATGTCCATTCTGATAAGTAAGAATTTTCGAGTCCTGCAAGTCCTGGGTTCAAGTTCTAGTGAGGCAGCAACTGCACGGTTTTTGAGAGCACCGTACAATGGTTATATAGCTATTCATTACCTCTTAGGCTTTAGTTGTTGTGTAACTAAAATTCATGATGTGCAACTACAATTCACAGACCTCTAGAAAAGCCTATAATAACAATATTTCTTTATAAATCGGATCAATAAACCTACTAAATGTTGAAACGTTGAAAAGCTAACATTTATTTTATCAAATAATTTCATTATGTGTAAATTCTGCGAACAGTTTTATTTTTGAATTTTTCTCATATTTACCAATGTTGCTGATAACAATTTAAGCAAACTATGTTATTTAGACACATTTCATATTGGAAATTTTAAGATCTCGGAAGATCTGAGAATAAGTTAACTTTTATCAATCACTAAATATTGTTACAAATAGTCTTCATTTGTTATTAAATTGTAAATATTCGGTTTTTTAATCAATGAAGTACAAATTACTGAGCTTATTTTCAACCAGATATCTACAAGTAATTTGTGTGTTCTTTATTAATTAATATTTGGAATTCTACTGTTTTAATTTTCGAAAGGTCTGTTTTGTTTGTAGTTGTAGGATGATTATTATCATACTTGAAGATTTTGGATGAATGAAATATTTGTGCCGGTCCCGAGTGTGTATTCTCTTCTGGAATAATTTAAATATGCTTAGAAAATGAAATCAAATTCTGTTTTTTTTTAAAAAATAATGATGACATTCACATGTAAATGACTATCGTAAAAGCCATAGTTACACAGCTTTACTACGTCTCCATGATCTATGGTAGAATAGATTTTTAAGTTCATTTGTACTTCTGTACTGAGTTGAAACAAAATGCGCCTAGAATTAGATGTAAAGTGATCTCCGTTTTTTAATGATTCTTTGACTGTCATCAGTTCGCATAGCTTAGCATCCACCAAATGTTTTCTATACAATTTCGTAACAGATTATTATTCTATAGTGATCGATGATAAGTTTTTGGATACACTATTGGCAAAAGTAATGTAAATGTCATGGTCAACTAATTCAGTATTAGTGTATAATAAATCAATTAACATTGCGTTTTGGAACTTGACAGAAGTGGACATCGTAAGGAAATTAGTTCACAAATCTATAATCTCAACGTAATTACAAGTTTTAAGCCAGCAGATTGAAAACCGGTAGTTTAAACGACGTTTGCTTCTGAGGTCGGCCAATATCTAACGAAAATTTCTCTAAATGATGTTCGTTCGTGTGAATACTGCATTCACACTTTTTTCAAACATGCTAATTTGAATATTTTGAAATACCACCATTGAAAAAATTGATTGTAACCGTTAATAACGTTGCAACCCAGATTACACTTAGGATATCTTTTTTCCCGTTTTGTGAATGGTGAGTTTACTATGACTATGCCAGAAACCGAAGCATGTTTTGAGATACTATAAAACTTTCAAAAGCAGAGATAAATACCGTCTACTTAGGAAAAATTGATATTAATTTTGAAATATCTTGAAGTATTTTCTGTACTCAATTTTCGACCTCGTATTTGCTTAAATCGGAGTGTACTGCAATTTATGAGAAAACATTTGAGTAGCAATGCCTATATTTCATAAATGCCACTTTTCTAGTGCAAATGATACTAAAATTCATTAAAAAAATTCAGTTACAACATGCTCAAGCGTTCTTAAAAATCAGTTTATGTTCAATAGTAAATTACTTATATATGTTAGAAGATTATTGGTTTCACCTCATCAAACCTGTTAGTAAAGACTGTCTTTACAATTACTTACTGTGTAAGTATTTATTTTTCTGGTTGCATCTGAAATATTATTCTGTTTCCCAAAGACAACTTATTAACTGAAGCGAATAGCATGATGTGTGATCACAAATTAGATACTATTAATTTACACTGAATTATGTACGAAATTAATTGATATAACAAGGCGTTTGAAATGACTGTTGAAGTAAACTTTTTTTCTCAATTTCCGCTTATTATTATTATTATTATTATTATTATTATTATAGGAAATACGTTTGTAAAACAGGTGATTGGTTCAATCATTATACTGAGACAAAAGAACCTTGTCCGTTAAAAATTGATGTCAAGTTTAAACCACTTGAAAATAATCTACATAAAGCTAGTGAGTTTATACAATAATTTAAGAGTTTTGAAGAAAAAAAGAAGAATTAGAAGAGAAGCGAAATAATTAGCCAATAATTTATTAATTCATCTTCAAATGAATTTGAAATTCGTGTTGTTTTGATTTTACTTGTAAAGAAAGTATCAAGAGAATAACTTATTAATATTGATTGCTTGAATGTTCCCATTGATGTTTAGGACCTCATTTGATTAATCTCTTCGATATAAGACTATTCGGTTCAGATTACTTTAATATAATACTTTTGGGTTGGGAGCGTTAATAAAAAATCTGAATAGTGGCTAGCAGGGGAATCCATGAAGTGTGTTTCAAGGGAAAATGTTAAATTACTTATATAGTGAAGAGGAATTGTTTATTAATTAAGAAGTTTCGTGTACTATAATTCAAGAAAAGAAATTTCTTTGTAGATATTTGTAAACTACACTGTTGAATATGCATTTAAACCCGGATTTCAAGTGATAATTTTATACATCATAAGAATAAAAGAATTCTTGTTTCATTCAACCTAAAGTATGACTTAAATTTAGGTTTGCTGTTACTTTACTAGATATTCAGCCGTCATTAATATTATTAACTGAAACTCAAATAATAAAAGTTATAGGTGAAGTCATTAGAGGTAATCATGGCCATGATAAAATTTACAAGAACATACAAGTATATTGATTTTAAACTTTCATCAGAATAACAAATAAAGTTAGTCATGATTATTTGATTTTCACAAGGATTTGAACTTTCTTGTCGTTAATGTTAAGGTTTACAATGGACCGGTATAGTTTAATGTATGCTCATTCTGTATAGGTTCCGTAAGTTTTGCTAGCAACTTTGCATAGAAGAGCTTGTGAATTGGTGGAAATACGAAGGCAGTCTACTTCGGAGTTATAAATGAGTGCATAAATGAGAGTGGTCAGTCACAGTCCTGAACATTATCAACGGGAATATTTCAACACTCAGTGATGAAATAAAGTTTGTTCCCTTTGGATAAACCGATGTTTATTTGAGTTCAATAGATAATTCTATAACACGCTGGTGTTCAAACCAAACTGGACTAGGTCTAAGTCACCAGGTTGGAAGCATATCCGAATAGAATGAAATAAACGTCCTAGGTTTGACTGTTGTTCACTAAAGAATTTTGCTTAAAAATTAAAAATGACATGTTTAAAAGAACGAAATAGAAAACAAGAGATTATGTTAGTAAAAATAATTCTGAATTATTCGATGAACACATTTATTTGTTTGAATGCATATTTTAGAGAGTGAAGGCATTTTACCATTGACTGATTCACCGAAAAATATTGTTGTGAGTTCTGTATAGTATATAAATTTATGAAATATGTATAAACCAATAATTTTTTATGATGTAAAATATTTTCAATTCAATAGCTGTTTCATTTAAATACTTCGAAGTGATTCGAAAATTACGAAATTATAATTTTAATAAAACGGTTTGAAAATGAAGTCAGTGTATGATTTTTTTAAAAAAACAGTTGTCAATAACCACCACTAAAGAATCTAAATATATGCGAAGTAAAAATAGATATTCTGTGATCAGCCTACAATGGGTGTGAATAAACGTTTGTTGGAAAATATGTGCAAAACCAGTATGAAACGCATTTAGCAATGTGATAGTTAATTTTTACGTATTTATTTCTGACATCATATACAATAAATGCCTGTCAGTTCTTATTGACAATTTCACATGCATTTAACTAGATGAAAATAAGGTTTCAGGGTGTCACTTAACGTGATGTGATACAGAATGCGCATACGTCAAACGAATGAATGTTAATGTGTGTGTTGTCAATGTGAATTCTGTCAAAAAACATTACGAACAATCACTCATCTTAGATTAGGAGCTTTTAACAGTTGACTTAAAAAATTCCACTGATTCCAGTGAACTAAAATTTTAATTGCCTTATAGAGGACTTAAAATTTTAATGTAGTATCCGAGTATGAAAAAACTTATTGCATCTATCTGTGTATACTATACGTATATGTATACATACAAATTTGTGAACAGTTTTTTTCAGTGTGACTGAATAATAATGCCTTCTGATTAGACATTTGATATTCGTGGATAGAGGTTTGATCATCAGAAAACCATGTTAATCTTAACATTTTATTTTGAATAAATGTTGACCGACGTTAGATCCCCAGAACTCACTTGATAAAGGTCCTAATTTTGGATTTTATTCGTGGGCTGACCAGTTGACCTTTCGATTACACCCCCTATCCTTGACTGTCATTGGTTAATGTGTTATTTTAGTACGCTATTTTTGTGGCTCTCGCAAGGACATTTCTATTATGTATAAATAAACTCGATTTGTGTGCTTGTCGACCTCGATTTACTGAGTGCTTGTAGAATACACTTTCTACGCCATATCAGTGCTTTTCGATACTGTTAGTAGGGGCTTGAGAGGCTCGGATTAGAGTAGCCTATCTTGTCACTGGATCACTTGTATTAGTTCTCGCTTACCGACTAAGGTGAACTCGTAATAGTTCAAGCATATCAGTTGACTAGCATAACAATATATTCCTTCCAAACAATACAAAACTTGACAATAAATATACTGCTCAAATTTATATTGGATAACATCAATCGACATGTAATCATGTCTAAGCTGTAGATAATGTATGTGTAATTTTTAGCGCATTCAGTTAAATTGATAATTGGTGTAATTAAGTATAGTAATGGTAATAGTTTGATAAACTTTCAAAGTTAGCAAGTATTAAAATCCACATTTCTTCTACCTTTACTGTTAAATCTCATTGTTTTTTGTAGAATCCATCTTTTAAACCAAGTAAGTCAGTAAACATAATGAGTTTTAACTTGATTTTGTTATTTTATTGGCGAAGTTGCCTTCTGTGAGCACTTTTAAACATTTTAAAGTATTATCATCCAATATTTAGATTCATATCAAAATTAGGATGTTATTGTTTCAAAATTAAATCGTTTGTCTAAAGATTTGAATGTTAGAATCCATATAACAGTTATAATTTCTAATACCAGTCTCTATATTATATAGAATGATTTCAAAATGTATAAACAACGAATCGTTCGTTGTGAATAAGTAACGAGTTTATCCAAAGCACTCTTCAGTCATTAAATATAGTAAGCACTGGAATTATTATTATTATTATAATAATTATTTAGAATGTAAGTAAACACAGTTAAAAAGTACAGTACTTACGAGTAGCTGACGAAGAATAATTAAGCAAGGTATTCTACCGTTAGTGTTGTTTGTGATTTTCTATTATTTCAACTTGCTCTGCGATCGTATTTATATTTATATTAGCGTAGATGTTGACCATCATATTACTTTACACCACAGGAGATAATTTTTTAAATTTTTCTGTACGTTTTTAATTTACTGTGTGTCATTCGACTTATTCGACTTATAAATCACTGGTAAAACGTCAGTTAGTATTACTGGTAGAAAATACATAAACTGATGTTATAAATAATGAACTACCGTTGTCAAATAAATTTGGTTTACCTTTTCGATTGTACCAGACATAGTTTTAATGGATGAAGAACTATTTTTTGCTCGAAACATTAACATAAAAATTTTATTTAACCAGCTAGTTCCGCAAAACAATAAATAATCAAACTAAAAGTCTTATAATATAGATGGAGTCAATAATGAAGCGCCTAATTAAAACGCTTGATTAAATTTAGCATGATAAGTGAAATAAAATATTAAAAATTAATTTGTTCTTTAGCCAGTGAACACTTATAATATCAGTTAATGTGTCATAAAGCCTCGAATTATATTGTTAAGATTCTCTTGATGGAAATGTCTAATATATTTTGATGTGATCGTTAGTTTCCCGATAATTTTTTTAACTAAGCAATATTTGTATATTTCAGTCACATATCATTTTTTTCAGATAACGAGAACGAAAAGAGATCATCAAATCAAAAGGTAGGTTTCATGTTTTTAACGCATACAATACATAGGATTGTGGTGGTGTTTCGTTCTCTGAGCTGGTTGTTTTGGTTGTAGAGCTTTCATTGTTCTTTTGAACAACATCATCAGCACAAACTTCAGATAGAAGTGAAGCATTCGAATTTCTCCACGTTTGACCTGTAGCTTGTTCTGCTAACCTCGATCTTGATTGGTTGCTGTTGATCCTAAACCTGTTGTTGTTTTTACCTTTGTTTTGATTGTAACCCCCTTTTGATCTGTTTCTTGACCCTGTCACGTATGATTCTCCTGATTGGTTGGTAAATTGGGTCAATGTCGATTTGTTTGTTGATTGCTAATTGACCTGAATGCCAAGCTTCTAAAAATTCTCTAGTGTTATTTGTCCTCCCCCCACACAGTATTTCCACATTGTTCCAATCAAATGTGTGTCCATAATTGTCGGTATGTATTGATATAAGCGAAGAATTGTCGTGGCGTTTGACTGCCAATTGATGTTCACGTAAACGGAGCTGAAGAGGTCGTCCACTTTGTCCTATGTAGTGTTTTTCACAGTTTGAGCAATTTATTTTGTAGATGATATTTGGTTTTTCTTCATTTGTCATTTTGTCCTTTGGTCTACATAGGATTGACTGAAGTGATTCTGTTGGTTTGTGTGCCACACCTATTCCAAATGGTTTCAGTAGTCGTGCCGTATGCTCCGATATGTCTTTGATGTATGGCATGATGATGCGTTTATTTGTTCCTGCGCTTGATTTGGCTTCTGATGATGGTTTCGGTTGATGTTTTCTGATGAAGTTGCGTGGATAGCCGTTCTTTTGGAAGATAGTCATCAGGTGTTTTTCCTCGTTTTTTAATGCTTCGTATGTGCTGCAGTTTGTCTTCGCTCTCTTGAACAAAGTTTGTATGCAGTTAATCTTGTGGGTTCTTGGGTTGTTGCTGTCGTAGTTGAGAATTACGTCGGTGTGGGTTGGCTTCCGAAATACTTGAGTTTCTAGTTTTCCTGTGTTAGTTCTGGTGATTAGTACATCCAGGAATGATATGATGTTGTTTTATTCCTTTTCCATCGTGAATTTGATGTCATCAAAGACGTTGTTGATCCGATTGTAGATGTTCTCCAGCTCATTCCTTTTGATAATAACAAATGTGTCATCTACATAGTGGACCCACATTTTTGGCTTGATCACTAGCAAGATCGACACAGGATTAAATGCTTAACCAGAAAATCTTCGTAAATCACGATCCTATAGTCATAATTCCAATTTATAGGGTTTTCGACCTAAGTAAATTATCGCTGATGATTTGTGAACAGTTAAAAAGCTGAAAATGCCAAGATTTCTACTACATGTTGGTACGATTCTAACGAATAAAAGTACCAAATAATAGTCAAATGTTCACTAACTGATAAATTTTCAAGTTATTGATTTTTACTTTTCATACTTTTCTCTTACATTGCATCCATTGCAGTAGATAAACGATAGCTAGGTAATAAAAAATATTTCGAGTAACTGATAAACTTCGGATGTATATTTCTTGAATGTATTCAGTAAACATTTGCAAATCATAGTTGTATTTGCTAGAGTTTTTAGGTGTAAATTTAATCTCTTATAATACAACACTTTCTTAGGAGTTTTACCAATTGTAACTCGATAGAATTATTTCGTTACTTTGTTGAAGTTGTAAAGTTCAGTCGGAAGAGTCAAAGAATTTTACAATCCATGGTCCTGGAATGTCTCTATCACGAAATTTGCAGAGTGGTTTATTTGTACTGCTTATATGCTTCTTAACTTGTTCGTGAAGTTTTTATGTAACTTCTAAGACTTTACCTAAACGTGTTTAATAACAAATACGTTGACTGAGAGTTGGAGATGATTGACAACATTTGGTTTATCAGATGATCGTGATAAACAGTTCATTAAATAATTCTAATTTAATCTTCATTTCACCAAAACAGCTTTTAAGTATGGCTTTTTAACATGGGATTAATTGATAAACGACTCAAGAAAGTCATCATATTTATTTCAACTTTTTCAGTAAGATTTCTTGGCATTTTCTGAACAGAAAACATTCTCCTTCAAACTCTTGATAGTATTATACAATCATTTGTAGCAATGCAAACAGTACATTTACAAACCTCAATCTGTGTTTGATGGAAGGCATTAACTTCGTCAATTTGCAGTCAGAGAAGAAATGACTCCTGTGAAAGTCATTTTACAACTATTGATAAAACATACGGCAAACTAGCTCTTTAACAACGAGTCGCCATTTCAGTATCGAAAGTTCCGCCTTCATGGTCAGCTCCTGGTAGGTTTTCATCCAGGCTGAAGTTAAGTTTGTGTGCCGCGGTAGTGTGGCATTCAGAGTATGTGAGAGAGTATGGAAGAGAGAAGAAATGAGGTAAATCAATATCTGAGTAAGTACAGAATAAGCATTTGCATCTAATAATGAATGCAGTCGAACAAATTCAGCAAGAACATTTGAATAATATTAAAGTAATTTTTGAAATTTCAAATTCATTACTCATTGAATGGCTGAAATATAGAAATAAAAGCACAAACTGTAAAATTTGATAAGCAAGAATAATTATCATATGAAAATAACTGTCCAAAATGGTAAGAGCCTATTTTTACAGCAATAAATGAATTGATTGTCTAAAGTCTGTGTAAAGTCTTAGAGATATCACACATTAATGAATCCAAAATAATCTAAAGTGAAATACTGTCCTACACCGATCAAGTAATATTATGTACTAACGGACGTCAAGTGGGAGATAAAGATATACTGTGCAAAGATAAGTAGTATGTTTTGTGAATCTGTTCATCAATTGCAGAATGTTCGAATCGGTTTGAATCATTGAGATTTAAGACTGAATTTTAATTAACATTTATTGAATCATGTAAATCGCAAGCATACTCAACGTAAACTGTTTCTATAAGGTGTCTAATTACATCAGCATTGTAGCCGAAACTAGAATTAAGGATACTTATTTCATCTATTTTTGACTAATAAAATTTATTTACTTTTATCTTTGAGGTGAATGTTAACTGCAATCTGAATAAACTTTAAATTATAGAGGAGCTAAACCTGAGTTAACTAATAAATTGTTCTTTATCTTCAGTAGAGTTATAATTTTTTTCGAAGACTATTTTCGAAGGCTACTAAGTGTTTTTATTGTGTGTCCATATAAATATCTTTCATCTGATTATTTTTGTTATGATTGCCACATATTAACTTACTAGAACTAGTTCTAGCTATTGAATTAATACTACTACTACTCAGAAAATACAAATTTGAAAAACACTTTGTTAATGATACTTTCTTATATAAAATGTATCATGTTTTATTCTAATTAAATAAAAAACAGTCAGTTGAAGAAATTTCTCCAGTAAAAAGCCAACAAACATCAAGATCTAAATCCCTACAAACCCTGAAATCTCAAAACTCTTGGGATTATATAAAGTCTCACTCTCAAAGTACACTGAGAACAAAATTATCTGGTTTCTTAAAGCCATCAACACTTTCTCATTCTCAATCGTTTGATTATTTAAGCAGAACAAGCGATTCATCAAGAGATCATGAAGAATTCGAGGAAAAATCTAAAATAGAAAAACGTCTCTTACGATTAAAAAGATTACTGAAGAAAGTGAGTAAATTGCCGTTTAAGAAAATGATTTGAATTTTTAATGACATATGAGAAAATTAAAAATTTCATTGTCAATTGCTTTCAACATATAGATGAAGTCTATATCTTAGTTTTTCTATAACTTATAACTGTGCCTTTACCGTGTGCACACTTACAACAACAAGTAATCAACAAATATTTTGTCCGTCCTAAAGTTAAACTCTGTTATCATCATCTAATAAGAAATCAGACTAACGTCAGTTTTCGTGTATAAGTTCTAGTCTGTTACATTAGCAAAAGGAAAGAAGACAGTTGGTGGCTGGAGATATTGTTTTGAAGAAAAACAATGTAAGATATAAAAGTCCTGTATTCTTTGAAATGGCAGTTGTTGAGGTGTTTAATAAGTCAGTATATAGGCAGAAAAATGTAACCCTCAAATAAATGTTCAAGAATTCACTAGTACAATTCAGTAAGCGAAATATATTATTATGTCAAATTACAATATCAGCAATGATCTGAATTAGATTAGAGGGTTTTTGAGTTTAGGTTTCGAGGAAGTAGAATAGTGATTGATTGATGATTTCAACGTTTAAAGACACTGACCTCCATAACTCTAACTGAAAAAAATCATACAAAGTGCTCACTAGTGACCAGCTTCATGAGGAAATTCTAGGAGTTCTAGTAAGAAAACAGAACCAGTGAAGTACGACCCTATCGGGTGTAGGCAGTAACTACTGAAGACAAAAGGGTGAGTTTGGGCAAAATCCTCGGATTGATCAGAATTAGACATTAAAGCCGTTGGATGTAGTCTAGAGTTTAAGTGTTCGGGCTCAAGACCAAAGATCATGGGTTCGAATTCTGCGAGGTGCAGGAGACGTGGGTGTGCACTGCCGGAGTCCCATACCAGGATGAGACGGCCATACACTGCTTCCTGGTTTCTAATGGTGGTCTAACATTGATATATTGGTGATTTCAATGTGTAAAAACACTGATCTCCATAGCTCGAATCGAGAATCAAAAATATCAAGTTTATGAATAATTACTGTCGAGGATTGCTATAACCTATCCAGTACTTTCTTAGCCACAGTGATTTACCAACTACGATCAGTCCTCTATGAAAACCTGGTAAAATCATGAAGACTTATAATTTATTAGTCTTATGACATTCAACCGACCAAAAAATTATCTGAAACCAGGTTAAACTACTGACTGTAACATAGTAGTATAACGCAATTATTTAGAATGCTAGTAAATGTTGGATAAGATTGGTAAACCAGTATCTTATTATACAAAATACTAATATTTTTCAATACTTAATAATCATTTGTTGAGTCGAATCGTTGAAACTGTTAAGATATTTGTTTTTTATTACCTGCTGAATGCTTTCATTCATGCAGGAAAAGTGATTATTCAGTTTTCCGGTGCGCTGTATCTGATGTAGAATGGAAAAACAAAATCTGCATGAAACTTCAGTATTGTGGTTCACATCTCTGAAAAATCAAAAGACTCTTTTTGACTGATAAGTATTGATCTGAAGCACCTTCATGTTGATTGTATCACCATTTGATCTGTTCCTCGATACTATGTTTGTGTTATGTGATTCTAACAAGTTAGACATTAAGCATCCATAGATATATGAATCAACTATTAGTATTATTCTGTGGTCTGTTTAAAAACGTATCAAGTGTTTATGAAGATTTATCAATGTCACCAGAAGAAATTGTTCTGATCATTTGATATTGATCGCATAATGGACATAATGTTACCAATAACTTAGAATGTCTGTAAAAATACCTTACATTTACATTACGTAGCTGAAAATAAACAACGTTGATATGGTTATATTAAACAGTCCAATATGCGGACTTTTGTTTTAAAAGACATACGAAGAATTTGATTTTTACATTAGAAACAAGCTCGTTTATTCAAAACTGGTGTATCATATTTTGGCACAGTAAAAATGTGAAACTAGGCATTTTCACGTATATGTAATCTGTTATTGAGTATTTTCGGGACTAAATTGACGTCCTTTTCAGCTCCATTTGCGTGAACACCAATTAGCAGTCAAACGCCATGACATTTCTTTCCTTTATATCAATACATACGCACAACTATGGACAAATATTCGATTGAAATACTGGATGAGCAGAGCACAAAGAACACTAGAATTTTAAGAAGCTTGGCATTCAGGTCAATCAATAATCAACAGACACATCGACATTTACTCAATTTATCACCCACTCAGTAAAATCACAGGCAAATGCAGGATCAAGGAATAGATCAAAGAGTGATACAATCAAAATAAATGTGCAAACAACGACAGGTTTTAGGACAGTAGCAACCAATCAAGATTGAGGTTAACAGAAAAAGCTACGGGTCAAACGTGGAGAAATTCGAATACTTCACTTCCATCTGAAGTTTTTACTGATGATGTTATTCAAAACAACGATGAAACTTCCACAAACGAAACACCTAGCTGAGAGAACGAACCTTCACCACAATGCGATTTCGCTCTAAATCTTTAAGCATTTATTTTTATCCACTATATAGTTGTAAGAATTTGTAAGAATTCAACTGCGAAATTCATCCAATCATATGGAGACCCACTGATTTTACGCATTATTTAGTCTAACAATCTGGCTTATAAATATCATTGATGCCATGTTATGTGATACACGTTAGCAAAAGAATTTAACATTTATTCTACAGAAATTGGAAAGTATTATAACTTCCTGTTTAATATCAGTCATTATTTCATCTTCAGTCATTCTGTTCCATAACTAGTATCATTGAAATATAGAAATTTATAATATTGTGGCATTTAAAATATTGATTTAAATTTTTTTGAATACAAAGTTAGTTTATTAACAAATAGTTATACACAACAATATATTCATGATGATTTCATTTTGCCACTTCTAATAATTGTCTAGAGTATATTGAACAAATCAAACTACTATAAAACTTTTAATGGAACGGATGAATCAGTTCATGGAGAAATCGACGTATCAATGGAATATGACGCTGAGGATCAACAACTTGGCGTTACTTTATGGACTGCCAAAAAATTAAAACATGAAAAGTACAAAATTGGCTTACCGTAAGATTTGATATTCTGAAGTTTGATATTCCAATGGTGTAACTTATTTTCTTTATTAAAATCATGGATCAGTCATTCTTATAACACTAGTGGAAACTTGGAAACACTGGACGGCTGTTACGTCTCCGTATGCAACTATTCAGCAGTGTGAACCCACGATCTCCGCCTGCTGGAATTTGTACACAACCCTCGGTCTCATTCAAGGACGCCTAACGCCTATGTGTAGGCAGTAAATATCGAAGACAATGGTTGAGGTTGCGTGAAATCCCTAGACCAACCAAAGTTTGACATTAATACCGTAGAATGTAGGTTATGTGTTCACTCGCTAGACCGAAGGTCACATGTTCGACTCCAGCGAGCATATGTCGTGGGTGCACACTCCTAAAGAGTCCCACACTAAAATGAAAGGGCCGTTCAGTGCTTCCAGGTTTCTAACGGTGGTCTAACAATGATTGATTCATGATTTCAATGCGAAACAAAAATCTCCATTATACTACAGTGGATATTATCTTATTTAATTAGCTAAAATGAACCGATCCACATTTACTCATTCATTTACTGTATATTCTGAGTAATTACTCAACATGAATATGTTGCTTGTAAATGTGAATGAAATGAGTTTCATTCTAATATAAACAAACATATTGTTCGTGAAGTATCATTTCAAATATTTCATAATAAAAGGAATCATAATGTCGTAATGGACAACTATAAACACCGACAACATTTTACTCGTAGTAGATGTTTGTAATGAACGCCTTTATTTGCCATGAAGTTATTTAATTATTTACAATGAATATTCAAGAAAGGAGTCGAGCTATTTGAAGAGGTTATTGAAAAAAGTGTTCTGTAATTTAACTTAGTTTTGTTAAGTGCTACATAAAATATCTTCAAGAGCTTTCTTAGATTAAAAATGATCATACTCTGTGTTACAATTCAGGTTTCCATTTCTCTGAAAACAGTCACTATCTCAACCTCAAATTATGTAGTTGAATGATTTTTGATTTAGTTCATAAGCTAGCAAAACAGTTTGTTCAGTGTGCAAAAAGATACATTGTCTTCAAGTGTAACCAAAGCAAAGTGAAGTCATGATTATTCAGAGAATTTTCTAACAGTGTTAGATTAAAACCTAAATTCTTCAACTGATAGTGAATAAACTAAAATTCTTCTCGTTGTTTTAATGTAAAAATAATTGAATTGTGTAAAATCGATGAATCAATTTTCCCTTTGTTTATGGATGTTTTAGTCATGCTACAATCGTGTTGCTTCCAGACAATGTTAAATATAAACTTGAAGTACCTGGTCATAATAAATGGGATGGAACAAATGCAGTTTTTGATCTTAGTGTTTGTTTTACTGTACATGAGTGTGATCTGAAAAAGAAGATTATTCTAGTAAAGTTATGGTCTAGAAAAGGCATAAAATCACAATTCACTATTGGCCAGAGTGTTATTCCGATGGAAGAATGTAATCTTTTGTTATCCGCATATAGACAATCCTTTCGATTGCTAAATGAAAATGTAAGTGTAAATTGAAAGCGAATATCATAAGAGTCAGAATGAAACAGTAAGAATGAACTTACCTCTATTAAAACTAACCTGATTCAGATTTACCTAATATAATGCATTCAAATACATTTTATGTCAATTTAAATCTAAATTAAGAGTTTGCCAGTGAGTCGCAAAAATATGCTCGCTTTATATATGGAATAGCACTTATCTGTTAACTATATTAGAAAACAAAGTGTGTAGCATTGCTAGACAGTTTGCCAAGCGCCAGAGTGAAAGAAATCGATATCAAGTTCGATACAATTACAAGATGTAATTTTAAGTTTCATTCTCAAACGCATCAAAAAACATGAAAGATTTATTTCATAGCATATTTAATTGTTCGTACGAATTGGAGTCAGATCCCAAAACACCGAACCTGTCGGAAACATGATAATTATTCGGATTGAAAATTTGATCTCCAACCTTTAAAATGTGTCCTTTTAAACATTCTGCTGTACTATTAGATGGAAGATGACAATGCGATATGTATAAATGAATAATATTTGATTACTTAGTTTATACATAAACATTTACATCAGTTGTTTTAGTTGTAACAAAAAGTTTTCAATCTGTCAATTATATTTTCCCATAGAATTCAATCATTACGCATCCCAATATGAATACAGCTTACTACGGTGAAATTAAACTTGCTTTACGTTTTGCAATATCTGATTATCAAAAAAAAATGTTGTGCGTAGCTGATAAAGCTATTGATTTGATTGGCATATTAGATGTATGGATAAAGGAAGGCAAAAATTTACATTCACAAAACGCTGGTACAGAGATTAACTCTTACGTGACTGTGTAAGTTTGTATTCATAACTTTGTGTTTTAAAAATCAAGTAACAACTCAACTTATGAAGTTTGTTTTCGAATTCGATAACATTTCTATCAGCTATAGCTTTTGTACGGTGAAGTAGTTACCATCTGATAGCTGTGAATGACGAGCGGTAAATTTGAAGGGTTGATAGTTTTGAAAATGTTATCTGTTTGAAGGAAAATATAAATCTCTCCTGCCTTGTGATTGTACTATTTCTACATTGGATCCTGCATTCAACTTTGCATTCATGGTGATCAGGTGTAACGAATTGAAAAGAAATGGGTCTCTCATTTGATTTCATTTTACAATTAAAATATTCATCAAATATCTATCTATCTCATGAGGGTGACTAAATATTTTCCAAATATATACAAAAACTGAATAAAATGATCTTTCTTAGAGAACGAAGTCCAACAATTATAATTTATATTTGAGAAGTAAAACTTTATTAGTGTTGAGTAACAGACTAAAATAGTAACTTCAAAATGACGTTTATGTCTAATTTTATTATAAAGGTATAGAACTGCTTTCACACCTTTAATGATCAGCTTAGTACAATATCTTAATAGGAAAGCTTATGCTATCGCATTCATTTGAATCAAGGCTAGTTCCTAAGATCAATAGTTTTACTTTGAAAAAAGTCAAATGTATCAATGTTTTATGCAACTTTATTTAAAAAAAAACTCCAAACAGATTCAAGGCTAGTTTCAGCACTATCTCTTCAAAATTTTGAATGCTTTATTTTGTATGGAATCCACATTATTACCTTGAAAAGTCATGGTGTTTTGGTTGCTTTTTTAAGATGGGGATATTGACGAACTTCGCAACTATTGTATCTTGAACATAAATTTTGTTTATTGTTCCATTATAGTCATTGCTTAAAAGAGTGTATAATCTGTATTGATTGAGCTTAGAAATAATAGCAATATTTGTAACATATTCAGTGTTCGATTCTATGACATAACACTTGAACAATGATGAAAATTATCACAAAATAAATCTCAATTAATAAATGAATAATTAAAACAAGTTTAATATCAAACAAAATATATGATATAAACTATCGGTATTATCAATAGTATAAATGTAATTATTTTATTTGATTAGAGAATTAACTGATGCTAAACACAAAACAGAATGTCAAACTACAGATCAAATTCTACGAAGCAATCAACCAATTTGGAATAGTTTACTTAAATTTCCAGACAAATATCTTAGTGAATTAATTGAATCTACTATAAAAATATTCATTTGGAATCGTTCCACTAGTCTAAGCGATCCAAATCTATTGGGAACAGTACAAATTTGCAATGAAGGTAATCATATGAATTGTATTTTCACATGTATTTATACACTGCTCTGTGCAATACATATATGAAAGAGAGTACCCCACAGATAACTGACTGCTTGAAGTAGGCCGGTTTATACAAACATCGAGTCAAATGCGACAATTCCTATATATTTTATACAGAAATAAATATTTATAATACAATGAATTGATAGTAATTTACGTCTTTTATCCAATAATCTCTTCAGAATATATAAAAATATATATTATGATGAGGAAAACACTATAGCTGCTAATTATTTCTAGTACATAACGTTTCTTTCTTTACGTCGACAATGTTCTAATAAGCAAAACTGATTATGGATAATAACGATTTGGTTGGAATCACTCCATACTTTTCTATAGGAGCTAAAAAGAATAATATAAATTGATTTGTTCAACAAAGTGATTGGAAAGTCAAGCTTAAAGTAACCTCACTTCAGTCAATCATGAGCTTGCCTGGTGACTCATTTAGGTGATCACCACAATGTGTGTCCTATCCTCTTCCAGCTCTTCTTTCTGATTTCCTCCTCCGCTAAAATCTGATTTGTTCTTTCCCACAGTAGCTTGTTTGTCATGGTGCCTGCCCAACTGATTCATAGTATCATATGTAGATAACTGTTAATGAACACCTGCATCTTGTGGATGATAACTTTCATTTTTCTCATAGTTTACGCTTCATACAATGGAACTTACTTGAAGTACTCATTGAAAATTGTGTGTTGGTCAATATTTGTTTAAAGTTCCAGATATTCCGCCCTTGTTTCGCCAATTCATGTCTTTACATCTGAATCAGATCCATCTTGTTTATCAACGATGCTGCTCAGGCATGTAAAGCTTCCCATATCTTTAAGGACTTTGCATCAGGTGTGATTTGGCTGGTGTTATGCATGTACTAAACACGTCAATTTGATATGCTTGAATTATTGCGAGTTTACCGGCGACACAACATGTTTCTCTAATCCAAATGTCACAAACCCCTCATTGAGTAAAAGAAGAAGACTTGATATGAAGTAGAACAAGTATTCTTCAAACATCCAGAAAACACGAGGACCGAGTTCAGAAGAAGATAAGGATCCCGTACTAGGGATGCGGCTCCAAGTCCAGGTCATAAAACGTTACAGATAGGTCGAACAACATTGAAGTCTGTGACATTGACAGTTAGGACTACCAATAGGAAACAACATTCAAGTACGTGACGTCGGTAGCTAAGACGACCACAATATTGGCCAGTAGGAATAGACCAATAGAATTAGACTTACGAAAATAATTCTCTTAGGCTATTTGATCAATATTCGAACAGTTGGTGTATGTTGTGTTTTATCGGAGGATCTCGCTTTTTCTCTTGTGTTTGTTGATACCTACTGCTGCAGAGACTGCTGCTAAACTGACCACCTTCTCCTGCATTTGTTGCTATGTGAAGTACAAGAAGATCGTTTAGCTGCATCCGAGCTGTCCACTGCATCCCTACTTTCCCTTGAGATGTTAACGTCTTCATAATCCGATTAACAACGGAAAGAAAAAGAAATGATGAAAGTGAACAAAATTGTCTGACACCGGTCTTTACTTGGAACAAGTCTGTGAGCTAACCCCCATGAACAATCCTAAGGCTTAGTCCATCGTAAATGGCCTCCATAGTGTTTTCCTGTCCATCCTGTCATGCTGTCTGGCCAGTTTTCCAGTGTTTCTTGAGTTTCATTTTCATCTTAGTTACCACGAAGTGATGATCTGAAGCTACGTCAACCCTTGTCTCTCTTGGTTCTCACGTCCTTCATGGGCCTTCTGAACCTTTATACATCACCCCTTCTTTTATTTACTGCCATAATTTTTTTCAACATGCGAATTTAACATTTAAGTTTTATGGATATTTTTGTTTTCGTTTTTACTATTTTACGAGATAATTGTATTCACAAATAGTATACTTTTTCATTTTTGTTCATCTCTTTGTTTTATTCTCGTAAACAGAGAAAGAATCTGCACAAGTCAACATGGGCAGCGATAGCGACATGAATTCTCATTTGAATCACGCCAACAAACTATGGGAATCTGTATTATTCAAACCTGGTGATTGGGTAGAAGCTTTGCTTTATATTGAAGCTCCTCAGTTGGACTGACAAAGATAAAACACTTATATATATATAATCCATGTATTCCATATATTTTTCTACAAGTTATTTATGTCAAGAATTCAATTCTTATATTTTAAAGTCGTTTAACAAGTTTTCACTTTACTTTTCAGATACTATTATATTACAATACAGTTAATTTCATCAACACTACACATTACATTGTTTTGAGAATTGGTCGATTCAACATAATTTTCTGTCTTGTTTAGTTATCATTTGGATTATATAGAAATTAAATTAGCAATTATATTTAATTAAATACAATTGGATTTTCAGATAAAATAAAGGGGGTTTTAATAATATTAACGAAATTATACACCACCTTGTACTGACTAACATTCTATATATGCATAGTTTCTTTGAATTCTTCTATCCTTTGTTACACTCATTGTATATAATTTTATTGGTTTATTTATTAATAAAATTAATTCATCCAAGTTAAGACATTGTTTTAAATTTTACTCTATAAGGTCAAAACCTATCGATTTTTTATTTTGAGAAATGTTACATTAGTCAAAGTATATGTTAAATAGGCCAAAATATTTATCGTTACGGGATACTACCCCTCCTAACTCAGGTGTCATATAGACAAAAAATGAAAATTTCGTTAGTGCAAAAAAATCATTAGCCGACATGCGACAAACGGTAATCATAGTGTTTGAGAGCATTCGTATCGAGCTGGGTTGCATCTCTTGCTATCCTATGCCATACTATGTATATACCATATGCTTTACTGATATGTAGAGCTGAAGGTTTTCTATGAGACCAGAGGTCCTATATGAACATTGTGGATGGTTTGGCATTGCCTTGGCAAGTATTACTAGCAGTCCATATGTATATCGGCAAAGCAAGGGCTGCATTTCTACAGTTGAAAAATATCTGGAAACCCAAACAACTTTCAATCAACACCAAAATCAGGATTTTCAATAAAAATGTCAAGACAGTTCTACTGTATGGAGCGGAAACTTGGAGAACTAACAAAGCCATCATCCAGAAGATACAAGTGTTTATTAACAGTTGTCTACACAAAATACTTCGGATTCGTTGACCAGACACTATTAGCAATAACGTACTGTGGGAGAGAACAAACCAGATTCCAGTGGATGAGGAAACCAGGAAGAAGCGGTGGAAGTGGATAGGACACACAGAGAAAAGGACTTAACTGTGTCACAAGACAAGCCTTCACATGGAACCCTCAAGGCAAAAGGAAGAGAGGAAGGTCAAGAAACACATCATGCCGATAAATAGAGAAAAATATGAGAAGAATGAACAAAAATTGGACAGAATTTGAAAGGGAAGCCCAGGACAGAGTTGGTTAGAGAAAACTGGTTGGTGACCTATGCTCCACTGGGGGTAACAGGCGTAAGTAATGTAAGTAAATTTATGTATATCAGTAATCAGGTAATTAACCTTTATTTGATACAAAGGTGTTTTTATTCCCCATAACAATGAATTCGCATGTAAATATGAAATGGAAAACTTTCAGTAACCACTTATTATAAACTAATATTTATTAGTTGATTGTTTACCAAGACTACGACTAGCTGTTAGCCATTTCACTGGATTAATTGAGATTTATACTCATAACTATAAATAATTAATAATACAGTAATGATAATAAAATTTTCTGAAAATGGAGTGATTGGTTTTTTTTAATCTACTGAATTACTGGAGTCAAATTTTAGATAAAAAAAAACTTCGTAAAACATGTTAATGATAGATCTTACCATTCATAAATTCGATTGCTTTCATTGTTTATGAATATATTAAACAAATGAAGTTTTCAATGGTATTGAATAGCTGATTTGGAAATGATATTTTATATTTGATCTACCAAATATTTTAATTTTGTTCGAGTGTGATTTCCTATCAATATTACAACCGTTTTATTTCATTTGTCTAGATTTTTCATTCAGTATAACTGTCTTTGTATGAATTATGTAAACACACGCCAAATATATTGTAAATATTCTCAGTAAAATTCATTTTTGTACTTTTCTTATTTTAATAACGTTTGTTTCCAGTGACGACTCATCAAACGCTGACTGAATTACTAAATAAAAGAATTTCTTTTGGTTTAATTGGTTGTTATGCCCTTAGACAGATTGAATACCGTTTTAATCTGCCATCGGTCTTTGTCTTTAAGTGACTGCTTTGAAGTCGAAGTAGCGTTCAGCACTGTAGTGGCCAGCAATCTGAATCCTAACAGTTAAACATGCTATGAAATAAATCTCCCCTCTAGTTTCTGTATGCCATACTTAAACCAACACGGTTTGTGCAATGGCAGAAATAAGAAGTCAAAACGGTTTTGCCGATGAAGTTATTTGATGCAGTTCATTTAAGCAGACAGATACAAACAAAGCGAAGCGAATCAAAGAAGGTGAGGAAGCCAACTCTTCGTTATGAGGTTTGACTAAGTATTTATAGTCAGATAAAGTAAGCTTGATATGCGATGGGCGGAGTGGCACACACACACTTTTAAATAAAAACAACCAAGAAAGAAGCAAATAGTTGGCAAGGTCGGAAAATGTGTTGACAATAACTTGATAACAGTGGACTTATTAATCTTTCCACAGGTTTGGAAAACCCCTGTGGGCTCGACATGAAAGTGTATAAACTATGGTCTTATTTTTGGCGTTCAGTAAATGTCAGATTTATGGTTTCGAGCATCTGTAATATGTTTAACCAATATTCTCATTGCTTAACTGTAGCATGCTTCGTGTTGAGATCTAGAATTACTGAAAAAAACTTTGAGTAAAGAATGAATCTGTCAGTTGTATTGTATAATAACCAAGTTATATCGTGGATCCACCTAATGTTCTAATACAGTGGTCTAATAGCAATGTCTCAGGAAATAGATTTGAAGGTCCTGCACCTAATATCTGCTGTATCTGGATTTCTAAATTTTTGAGAAGTCTCTGACCAGGACAAAACGCCGCTTCAGTTTTTCCTAGTTTCATTGCTAACCTAGTTTTTTATGAACACAACTTCAAAATTAAACTGGATATATTTCAACGGTATTTTAAAAACACTGTCTTTCTACGGTGAAATTCTTCTCATTTGAACAGTCTAAAGTAATTTTGAACATATTATGGAATGATAAAATGTGCATTTCGATTACATTACCAAATCCATATGATAACCGTCATATATCCTTCAGAAAATGACTTACAACAGGGTAGTGTATCGTATGAAGATGTACGACATAATGGAATCAGTGATTTAATGAAAGAAGGCACAGTTTACTTGCAAAATATGTACCTTTCATAACAAATTATGGATAGATTTGTTTAATAGGATGGCGTTACCACTCATAGAAGTGACGTGACATTCACGGCCTCATTAGAATGATTTAAAATTGAACGCTTCATTAGATATCCAATTAACTGACAGTTATTTTTCTGAATCTTCATCGTTTAACAGTTCATAAATGTGGCAAATCACGTAAGGACATTATCCACATTATTAATCAAACCTAATGTTGCAATATAAGCTGATTCATTTCTTCTACTCGGAGACCAATAAGTGACAAAATCTATTAAACATTCATACACTTTTATACTTCTCCGATGAACTGTTCTTTAATACAATTACATTTTAGATTGTCTAATGCAATATTAATATAGTTTTTTATAAAAGTCATGTACTTTACCAAACTATCCGACTGAACTAATACTTATATTAACAGGTAGAGGGTTAATGAAATTCTTTAATTTATAGTTTATATCACAGACTGGTATTAGGCATACAATCATTACAAACTAGAAAGTCTTGAACATCCATTTTTCTAATCTTTGACTCACTAACCTAAAGGTTAAGTATTGGCGGTGCAAAAGATCGACCGAACATACAATTCCCAATGTAGTCGTCGATGTGCACTAGCATGAAGTATCATAAGCGTTTCAGTGCTTCCTAGTTGTTGTTTTACTCAGATCATTGGATGAAATAAAAAAATAAAATTTTAACATATTTCCATAACAACACTAGAAATTATTTTTTTCAAGAATACATACAGATAGATATGAATACAAAACCTACATACATACATACATACGTTTTCTTGCGTGAATAACTCATCATCTTCTTATTTAGTCTTTCATAAATTTTTTTGTTGGAGAAAATAATAATTCCTTCTCTGTCAATATAATTTTGATTTACATGAGTGAACCGTTAAGATAAAAAAAGAAAAACATGCTACATCAATGCCTATTTTCATTTGTCAGTAGAATCAGATTAGTCACAAATTCTCCTTGTGCACATTCGTCACGCTAAGCTCATATGAATATGAACAAACAAAAAAAATACTTATGCAATAAAACAAATCTATAAAATTCAAACCAGTGAAATATATAATCCGATTTGTTTTTTTTTTAAAAAATAATTATTTGATTCAAATTAATCTCTTTTAAGCTTAAGGTCATGGGTAGTTGGTGTTTGACAGCTTTATTATTGTTTTTTGAAAAAATTTCCTCTACCAAAAAGAAACAAAATCTGGTTTTGAATTATTTGAAATAATAAAATGTATTTTAGCCTTATCATGTCAGTAAATTCAAATGAATTCCGGAACACTAATATTCTCCTATGTTTATGGCTGGCATTCAATAAAAATTTCCTTCCTCTCAGTGACATAAAGAAAAGCAAACGGATAGAATTGAGAAATCATAATTTCTAATTAGCAATTACTTTTTCCAAAATTATCATCTATTTGGTTATTGAGACAATTTTCACGATGCCTTTCCCAATTGTAAAATATTCGTTTTTATTCAAATGAAAAAACAATTAACGACAGAGCCAGTCAGCAATTCAAAATAATGAACCAATCAAATGTTCCTGTTACACCATATATATATATATATATATATATATATATATATATATATATATATATATATATATATAAGTAGAATTCACACCATATTTCATACATTATTTAAAGATTCATACCGATCAACATTTCTCACATTCATTATCACTGTTTATTAATCAGTCAAACATTAACTTTCAAAAATAATTTACATGTTATTAGCTAAAATCTTGGTGACATTGAAAATAGTGATTATTATTAATTTATCAGCAAATATTGTAAGCTGTAACGAAAAGACAAGTCTCATTCAGAATGATCTATTATTCAATGTACCATTATTAGATAATTATGAATGGATGACAGTTACCAGTTTACTGTTGGACACGATTGAAAATTCTACAAATTATTTATGGAAACATAGAGTTAAGGTGAATCTAGATGGTTACCTAGGAACCAGAATGGTTGAAGGTAAGTACATAATGTTATTTGCATCATTTAATCGTATCCACAAATGATCAATGTATTCAGATTACTTTTGACATTTATATTTCTTACTACCATCAACATAAACAAAAGTAGCCTGCAAAAAATCTAGACACTCATTTTACTACACTAGAAATTTTTGGTAGGGTTTCTTACTTTGAGCTGGGAGATTTCATGGGTAAGTTTCCATCATTCAAGTCTTCAGCTAGAAAGAAGTTCAAATGTCTCCAAATCTAGTCGGCACCCTCTTCTGTCCACCTTGATCGATTGTTGCTAACTTTTATTGTATCAGTGTAATTTTATTGATTTTGACGCTACACTTTTCCAAGGATTTTTTCAATGATTGATCCACTATCCTAATTGCGCAAAACATGTTTTCGAATAAAATGGTCGCCCATTTCATTTTCGTCTACGTATACATCAACTGGCCGCCAAATTCCAAGATGTAGCATAGTTTATATCAATGCGAGTAGTTAGTTGTGGATACACGTCTAACAAAAAGAATCTTGAAATCTATGAGAGAGTGAAGATTAGGTTGAAAAGATTGTTGAAAGCTTGTTACTCAAGTCAGTCGGCAGTAGATAAATATATGTTAAAATCAATCCAACTTGTCAGTTCACAGTACGAAACTTCACGAAAATCATCCCCTAAGCCACAAATCTCCACCACATTAGCATTAGAAATTATTTATTCAACTTGTTTTACTGTCGGCTACTTTGTCATGCAAGATCAGCTTTACATAATATTTATGAATAATACATCGATTTGCGATTGGCTTTACTAGTTTTGGTTATGAGATTTATCATTTCAAGGTTCATAACCTATCTCTGTATTTTATGAGTTATATGAAGTGATTTGTCACTAATTTATAGATCGTATGTGATCATCGAAGCTGATTAAACCAATCTCTCAATATTGTGAACGTACTTTGAGCACTGTGTACAGATATGTTAACAACCCACAACATTCGGGTTGGTGTTTTGGCGCAAATTTTTAGTACTCATATTTATTTTTTTACACTGTCCATTTCGAATTAATTGTACTGAACCATTGATTTTTTAAAGGTTCTTTAGAAAATACCTATTCTGTATTTACGTGAGACATTTCTTATCCTCGTCTGCCGGAATTTATTTTTACCCTATAATTCAGAAGAATAACCTCGCTCAATTTCGAAGATTTTTCATACCCACAAATATTATTTAAAGGCTATTGTGAATACTTGTAACTACCTTAACCTACCCCTGGTGCTCATATGTCTTAGGAAGTGTAGATTATTTTTATTTCATATAAATTTAATTGTATGAAAGGTAAACAGAACAACACGATTATTTATAAAGTTTTGATATAATGGACTACTTGATATAAATTATTTCCATGTGAATAAATCGAAAACTAAAAATATTTAAAAACCTGATTCATGTAATTTGTAGACATTTAAATAGCTATTTGGTTAACGATGTGTTTGTGTAATATACTGTGAAAGAAAACGTATATAGCTAACTAAATGAGTGATTATATGTGGTAGAAAAGTGAAATCAAAATGAAATATCTATTAGAAAAACTTAAATTATTTACTGACACTGATTTTCTGTCACTAGGTAATCATTCTAACTGAAGTCAAATGGATTCCGAAATTTCACCCGGTAATCTGCTCCAAGGAAATAATCACCATCAAACTTATGAATAATAAGTAGATTCACAAACGAATCCCTACTAAGCACTTGTCTTGTCATGTTCAAATGGTGAAGTTGCTTTTAACAAATCATTTGATGTTAATTATGTTTTAAATGAACCATGTAAAGACACAAGTTCGAGTGTTATTACAGTTTAGTTTGTGAAACTTCTGGTTACATGTGTGATAATTCTAAATACAAAATTAAAATTTTTGTATCATAAAACTGAGCTTGTCAAAGTTTGAATTGACAGAAAGCAGGTCGGTTTTGTGATTGTATTGTGCATTTAGAGTAATTAATGATAAATCAAAACATAATCATTGACTTTACAACCAAAACTCCTGCTACTAATCAAGTGTCTGTTAGTGCAGAAACAATCGGTTTAGATGTTAAAAACAACGGTTTCATTCACTAATCAGCAGTTACCATGGTTTGTCTAAAGGCACTCCATTCCCTCTATTCAGATAGTTAGGATTCGCGTACACATACATTGGTACGGAGTTCATCTTTATTTATTATCATAAAAAAAATCCTGTTTGTACTAAAACTGAATTTCTTATAAATTTACTGCCACTCCTAATCTGTTTTCAGACTTCCTGGAGGATTTTTGAGGATTTACGAATAAATTCCAAATACTGTGTTGATTCCTTGGTTCTCCCATCTAGTTCATTGGTTCCATTTTTGCCTATAGAACCAGGTTTTCAGTGGTGGTCTAAAAATGATAGGTTCATGATTTCGATGAAATTCAATATTCTCCACAATCCTATCTTGACAATCTTTTATATTGCTTTCAGAATAATATCCCTGACTCAATGAAATATGAAGTATATCACTCTGTCATTGGTATCAGCAACAATAAAATACTTATAAGACGTATATGACCAAGATATATTTCTAATTGTTGGTCAAAAATGTTTGACCTTATTTTCTGTAGGACTAATCCCATGTTTCACATGGGTTTTTTGTGCGTAAAAATACGATACAATATATGCTTTAGTTCTTCCATGAAAAACAATAATTTCATTTGATCCAGATAACTATTCATAACTGAAAACCCATGGTTTTGACTGCTTACAAAGAATCACCGGAGACCTTGAATGAAATTTATTCTCAAAATTAAGAATGTTTTTGATAAATATTAAAGCTTTATATGAAACGTGTTTTAAGTGGGTTATTATATATACATATATATATATATTTTTTATGATGAAAGTGTTTTAGTGACAACTTGCGTCAGATTTAGCCATATGTATATTTACATATTCCGCATAATTGATAAAATAATAATTGTTTTTTGTTTGTGTTATTCTTGTTTAAATAGGTATTATTCAAATGCTGTTGAACCAATACAGACATAAAATACCCCAGGAAATTATTGAAAGAATGGAATTGCTTTGGGAAAAATTGCGAACATTGAACAGTTTTGGTATGATCAATGTTCAACAACAAACTCCATTTTATTTTTCACGTAAGTCTATACCAGCATCAAATTCTTAGTTTTGTATTGTTTTGTGAATTGTATCATTTTTCAAATTTCTTGTTATTATGCATAAAATGCTTTCTTTTTTATTTAAGAAAATAATGTTCGTTCTTGATTTCAGATTTCGTCAAATAGTTTCATAGATTTTATTGCCTGACTTAGTTTTGTGTTTTCTTTTTGATATTTTCAACATATATCTGATTGATTTATACGGTAATAATGATAATATTTTATTTAACTCTGATTGTTATTGAAATACTTGTTCGTTTTTATTTCAGTTTGCAATTGCGCTATAAGCTTATACTCAAGCAGTGAACTTTCACTGTTTTTTCAGTCATTATTTGTCAAAGATGAGCATTTCACAATGCAAGCACTATAATTTAATTATGAATTATGAATGTCTATAATATATTGTTTAAGTTAAATTTAGAAATACATTTATAAATATTTGTAAAGATATTAAATAAACGATTAGCCAAATTTCTCGACAATATTCAAGTACAATTAGCCATCTGATAAGTGAAGTATTTATTTACAGCTGAAATTAAGTAAATTGATTTATATCATAAACTCATGGATTTGCATGAAACTGAACTCATAAAATACCTTATAAGACGCATGCATATTTATGTGTCATTAAAATTATTTAGATGAATTTTAATCATGCAATTTAACACATTTATCAAAATATTTATGTCTCATATATTTCATGAATTGTATTCACTTATACAAAATACCTGAGATTAATATATATCCAACACGTAAATTGTACATAGATTAATGAGCTGGAGGGCATTTTTTTTCAAGAGGTAGAGAAATTCAAAAAGCCTGACAATTTCAGCATCTTTAGATTATTTATTATTTTTCTTTTTAGTTACCCATTAGACAAAATGATAGATTTATGGGTGTTTTCACTGATTTCTTTGATCAAATGATTTTATTTATGTTTTATTATATAATAGTGGTTGATGCACTTCTATTTTTAGTTTTACAACAGGAAGGTAGACCATATTTTAATCAGTTCTAAATTTTTTTCTAAATATATTCACAATAAAAGAAGATAAGTACCAATATTTTAAATACGATTCTATGCAAGTACTTTTCCTAATAATTTAAATAAACTTCTCATTGTTGATAATTAGTAGTTGTTGTTAATATTAATAGTGTGGTGCGCGCTACTTATAAGTAGTATATGACGCGAGTGAAAACGTAATGTCTGGCAACAGAAGATGGGGTAAGATCAAGAAAGGAAGAGTGGGAACACAATGGAATTTGTATGAAACGCATGAATAGTGAAATGTCAGACAATGATGGATTGATGATGGATTGAAGATTTGCAAATTAACCGTTTACGATATGGTTTTCCTATTTTACTGAGTAACTCTGTAATTTTCGATAAATACAATTCGGTTGCCCTCACCTGTGTTCTTCTTCACTACAACAGGTGATAGAAAAGTCATTCAACATGTTGTGTATTTCAATACAATTAACAAATGTTTTGTTTGATGAAATTTAGTTTGAAGTCCATGCATCAAACTTAAATCATTTGAATTATGAGGTCAGATTTTTCAATTTTCATGAATAAAATGGTCAAATTGTGGCTGTTAATAAAATTCAATTTATTAATCCACTTTCTAACAAACTGTCGAAATACAGAATAGAAATTCAAATGCACATCCTTCCACATAACAAAATAACTTTTGAACAATGTAGTTAATAAAAAGCAAACATCATTTGAAGTTGTCTTAAATTCAAATTTTTATTCAGTAGGTTAGAAAGCTTAAAACCATGTTAATTTCTTGTTTCAACAAACCGAACTCAGATAGGTAATGTTCATATTCAAGTCCATCACTATTTCAAAATGATCGAATGCTGTTTTAATAATTTACCTTTGTTGCAGTGAACAATTATTTATCAGAAATGTTCTACAAATTATGATGGTACCGAAACACGAAACAAATCAACAATACTCAATATCGATATAGTAAAATAAAACTAAATTAATCATCAACAAGGTTGGGTTGCTTTTTTTAAAATTTATTTATTGATAATAACCGTTTATGAGATCATTCTATTAATGTAATTACTTTAAATTGAAAGGTATGCAATGAAATAGTAATTTTCTCACACAGTTTTTCTCACTGATCAATTTTACTATGCTTGTTCGTTTAAATAATTTCTCCACAACTGACTGAAAAGAACCGCTGTAAGTAAAATAGCCTAATCGGTAAAAAATAGCTTTAAGTCACGTATATTCGATGCTTAAATTGTAGATTATTTTAAAAACAGATGCAATAATAAATTTATTTGAGAATTTTTCCAAGTAAAGTTACAATGTAGAGCTTTTTATGTATCTGACACTTAAAGCAGTCGTTTATGTGCAACGTATTTTGTTGAGCAATCTAATTAACTCAGTACGTAGGTTTTGTCTTAGATTTACGTTTACACTTACGTAAAATGTTAAAAAAATAAGTGCAACGTTAAATATCAGTGTCTACAGACAAAGAACTTGATGTCATCTGACCATAAAACATCATCGTAGTTTAGAATTCGCTTTTGTTAGTGGAGGAGAGAATCATAAGTTTTAATGATGTAAAGGTATATTCATTTTGTAGTGATTATCATATAAGTAGTGCACCTCGATTACTGACGAGCTAAATCCCCATCAGAATATTTAGAATCAATTAATCGATCAATTACTACGGTAAAACTATGGGTAAAAAAATTTTCTACAATTTAAGTCACATCATTTTACCTATATTACGACATAAGAGAATGTACGTCGTTTGGCAAGATAGTATTATTATTCTTTTCTATCGGTACTTGCAATAAGGCTCACTAATTTTATCCCTAGTGGTGAATATATGTATATATAACAACCAGCGAACCAATGGTTCGTAGTTTTTAATGTTAACCTAAGACATAAACTAAATTCAACTATTCCCAACAAAGCCTTCAACCGCATTTTATTATAAAATTGAAAAATTTAAACGATAAATGAATATAAAGAATTTCGTGCAGACTACCATTTTATAATTTAAAATAATGAAAGGACAATGTTCTTTTTTAAACAAACGTCACGTTCTCTCTGTTTTAGACATAGTTGACAATCAAGTGAACAGTTATTAGATAATTATTTAGTGAATTTCACATCAATGACAATTAATTCATCTGATTTCCAAAATCTCAGTCGTTACTCACTGCTGAAATTGAAAATAATTATTGTTCATCAATAAACAGGAAACTTAACTTATACTGTGAACCCACAGCTTGCTGGATCATCTATTTACTGAGGAGACTATATAGATTCACCGAAAGGTCATCAATTTTGACTTCCTGAAACTTGAATAGACATAAAGAAGTAACCAGTGAAACACTTTACTTTACAACCATAAGTAAAACTATCAATATTTTTAATAAAATCAGTTGTATATAAAAGAGTTCCTTCAAATGTTTGGATTCTCATAGATTAAATCATTGATGCGATCTATGGAATTTAACAATTTCCACAAACTAGACACAGTAATATATATTCAACTTGGAATTATAAATACAGGCTAATCTATCCTATAATTGAGTTAAAAACATCAATAAATGAAATAGTGAATATAACTTTACAAGCTATAGTTTGAAGGCAAATGCCAGTAAATAAATGTACAGTTTGTCCGTGTATTTAAATTAAATCTCTTTATAATGAGCTTGTTCTTAAGTATGGATTTGATTATTTCATTGACAATAGGTATTAATTTGTACTTAAAGTTTAAACAAAACTGATGAGAATAATACACTGTTACATTAATCCTTATCTAACTGATACAGACGTTGATTATGAATCAATTTGGATACATAAAAATTCAAACAGGTTCATTCAGCTGTAACTGTTATGTCCTAAAGTAAATCACCAGTATATTTCTCTAAAACGGATCAAAATATAAATGTTGTATATCACTAATCAATTAGGACGTAGCTAGATGTTCGAAAATACATATACTTCTACACCAAATATAATGTAATACAGTGTCAAATACATTGTAATTGGAAAGAATAGATGAGTTCTAAGAAAATATTTATATTAAGAATCAATAACTGTCTAAAAAAATCAATCTGTTAGTCTTTTTAAGAATAAATTCCTTAATTAGAGTGACTCGAATCAATCGATATTAATGCTTCTGCCGAATAACTGAGGTATTGCCTTTTGCAATTACTGTGAAAATCTTTCTTTTCGTATTTGGTTATAGATAGACTTAAGCAAATGGTTATCATCTATTATTGTTGAAAAATCAAGTTTCATCAAGGCTCAAGTGATAAAAAAATGTTCACCTTAGAATTTCTGGTTTTAGTTTTCCTCCAGTAATTCCAGATAATAATTAAATCACATTTGAAATCATCAATCAATCATTGTTAGACCACCATTAGAAACCTGAAAGCACTGGACGGCCTTTTCGTCCTGATATGGGACTCATCAGCAGTGCGCATCCACGACTCCTGCTCCTCGCAGGATTCGGACCCAGTACCTTCGGTATTGTGCACGAACGCCTAACTATCGGTCTGCTGATGAGTCCCACACCAGGACGAAACAGCCGTCCAGTGCTTCCAGGTTTCTAATGGTGGTCTAACAATGATTGATTGATGATTTCAAATGTGAAAAAACATAAACCTCAAAAACTCTGCCCCAAAATAATTAAATCATCATAGTGAAACCTTACGTTGTTTTGTACCATTCTATCCCTAGCTTTCTTTGATCGACTTAATATATTTTTTCAATGGCTAAACCAGCCCTTTAGATTAAACTGATGATGTCTTTTCTTCTAACAATCCTATCTTTTTTATTATTGTTTCTAGTTTGTCTAATAATATGGTTTAAATAACTATTTTATGATACAATAGCTAAAAAAGGCTTCAAACGAAATAATCAGATGACTAGTCATTTAGAAGAATGACAACAATACTAGTTCCGATCAATATTTATATGTTCACTTACATTGAACTAGACTTTTGTCTTGAATTTGAATAAACCAAGAAGTTTAAAAAAAACCTTTAATATAATATATCCGGAAGTCTATGAAACAGATAATTACCGAAATCCCACAAGTATTATCTCTCTTAAAATAATGAAACATTTAATTATTGTTTCAAACTATTCGTCAATTCTTTTAAACAACAACAATACTACGTCTATTTGTAATTATGTCGAATTCTCAGTTTGTATATGCGTGATCAGTTCCTGAAATATTTAAGAACATAAAACAATGGTATTGATTACGTATCAAGTAAATGATGACCTTGACTGCTTAAGTGATAATTTGTGGGTTTTCAGTGGTGAATTATTTCTGGAATAAATGTTATTTTGTTACAAATAGTGAATACATTGGAGGATTTACTAAACGTCTATCTACTGTTTATTTGGTTAATAGTCTTGTGATTCTAATGATGTTTAACCTAAAGACACTCATTTGTTTTGTCAGTTGGCGACTGATAGCATAATCTTAGGGGTTGCTTCATTCTCATTTTCTGGATACTGATGACGTATTGATATTTTTAAACCAGATAGTCGGCGTGTGCGTATAATTAATTACATTAGAATCAACTGTCTAAAACAGAATATAGGATGACATGAATAGTCCTCTTCAATTACACGTACACTAAATGACAAAATATGTCTTCACTTATACCAATGCGTGTACTCAACTACGGTCATGAATTTCGCTGGAAAAAGGTCGGAATTCGAGTTTTTCAGAATTCCGAAGAATTTCCGGAAGCACTTCAATTCGATTGGGCATATTTAAAACGAAAAAATTTATTGACGCATGAAACAAACGACAGGCAATCACAAGTGGTCAAACCAGCCAGACAATCGGCTCGAAGATCAGAACAAAAGAAGATAATCGACTACATTTATAATAAAGAATTGGATTACACTGATTTAAACAAGTCGGATAATCTAGTTATTTTACTGCTTGGGAAATTACTAAATTTATTTATATAAGTAATTAAAAACTCGGCTACTAGGATAAATTGATTTGAAAATTTTTTAATGATTTAGGAGCTCACTTCTATATTAATTAAAAGCTAAAGATGTAGACCAGAAAGACAATGGAGGCTCTGAGCTGAAATTATTTCGTGCAGAAAATTCAGTACCAAAACGTAAAGGTCTACAAAACGGATGAGTGACTATGATCACTAAAGTTACATTGTTATTCACAAAACAAAAATGTGAAAACTGCCATTATTCGCTTGAGAAAGCAAATAGTGTTTCGAAAACAGCGAACCAATAAGATCCTAACCTTTAGCAGCTGTACTTAATACTTAAACGCATATATTTAATTAGAAGAAAAACAATGGTTGAAAGTTAGTCACATAATTTAGTTGGGATGGCTCCATGAAACCCACAGGGGCTTTCAAGAGGCTGAAGAGTTTTCAGACAATCACAGCTCAACAGAATTTCCAGAACGTCGATGTGACTGGATGATATTATCATATCGCTAATTTCGAATTGGGTGATTTCAATGATGTTTTAATGTCATTCAGAAAAAAATGAAATAAACAAGGGTTTTCTGGACATTTTATAAACACCTTGGAGTAAAGCATTCTTCTTATGGTACAAGCCTTTCTTTTTGTATTCAAGTTGTACTGCTTAATAAATTATGACTGAGTGAAGATTGTTTCATTTTCATATTTTGATGAAGCAACCAGTAAAAGTTGTTACAGTGTTTGTACATTATATTGACTCATATATGTTTCAATGCTCAGAGTCTGTCGTCTGCATGTATGCTAAAATTTACTTAGTTGTTGAATAGTCATTAGTAAGATCTCGGTTACAAGTTTTATTGGTTCATTAACAAATTGCAACCTTAATAAATACGAACTGTTCAGTGATTGTCAAAACAATATTTTCAGATTTCTTCTTTTTAGATATTTATTGATATTGAGTGTTTTTGACGAATTATTAAATTCAAAACAATTAGTCCTTTTTAAAAATGTTGATGAATTATATGAGAAGACGTAATTGATCTGAAAAATGTGATATATTGGCGCTATACTCTTAGAATAATCGGATTTAACTTTTCTATAACTCATGCCGAAATCTCACGGTTACTGAATAAGACACAGGACTATTTTAACATTCAAAACTTTCAGTGCCTTAAAGAAGCTCGTTGAAAGACCAGAGATATAGTGATTCTCAAACCTGACAAAGGTTCTGGCGTAACTGTAATGAATAAATATGGTTATAAAAAGAAAATATTATCCATTCTTAGTGACGAAAGCAAGTTTTTGAAGAATGTATTATCTGATAACGAGGTTACCGATTGCCATTTTTAGACATACTGTTGAGTTCAATGGATGATGGATCTGTATCAAAACCAATATGGACTGAATAATATTTATATTTAAGCAGTTTTTTCTATTGCAGCACAAGCGAGGCTTGGTAAAATGCTTCTTCACTTGAGCACAAAGAATTCGCACCACGTAGACGATGCGAAACTGTTGACCTAAACATTGGTTTCAAACGGTTATCCACTAAAATTCATCAGTAGGTGTAGAAACCAGTTAAGACAAAATCCTATCTTTTATTCTGTTGGGAAGAAAAGTGTTTGTATCATTTTATCATTTAAAAGCCAATCAACCATAGAAAAAACATACTATGATGCTAAACTGATTATAATTGAAGAGACTAAGCACATGGTTCCACACAAACCTAGACACTGCTTGAATGACTGCATCACATCCATTGCATTTATCAATTAGCTCGTTTGTGTGGTCACATATATAGGGAGGAGTAATCGGAGTTTGCAATCAAAGGTCATGGAACTTGTACCTAATTGGCTTCAAAATCAGTTAACGTCAGATTACCCGATGAACGTGGGAGACAGGAAACCATATTTGTCAAATTCAAAACACATAACTGAGACGGAGCATAAGAGTGACTTCAAAATAGCCTTCAAAACATTGTATAGAAACATTGAAGGACGAATTCTGAGGTGTGTGAAAGCGTTGGCTATTCGTAAATTAAAACACTACCTATGTGTTATAACCTTGAATTTACTCTAGTAAGTTGTAAGCCATTTGATGGCCTAGGGTAATGTCACAATTTCCTACTCTTTCTTATTCTTTCTGTATAATCTTAATTTTCTCTCTATTTCATTTTATTAAGCTTCATATTGAATGCCTTGACAAGTATATGTGTGACTAGACTATTCGAAATGTATAACGCAAATACATCACATTTTCTGGATCAATTACATTTTCTCATTGATCAATAAATACTTTATCATCATCTTTCTTATTTTTTGAGAATCTTTTTTTACTTTGCTAAATAGTGAGCTACTTTATATATGATTGAAATTCATTCGGCTTCACTCACCCTTTTTTCTGAAGCAGTTAGCATACATTTCTATATGTTGGATTAGTGTAGGAATTTCATTTTCTTAGAAATTATTCAATTACTTCTATGCAATTTATTCACTTACAATACACACATTTATGTATGCAGATATATTGTTCGTTTTTATATCACTGAAGTAAGAGAAACGTTTTAAAATGTCGCATGCTAGGAAATCCATATTGCAACAAACAAATAATGTGGAATTAAGCTTCTTTTATTATTATTATTATTATTATTATTATTATTATCATTTGACAGCTTTTTTATTAGTTATGGCTTGTGTTACTACCTCTTTCATAATAGTTTAGTTTTAAAATAAATACGCTCTTACAGTTTCGTTGAATGCTAGAAAGCTAACAAACAATAGTAAGTGAAATTCTTCATTTGAACATACATAGTTTCGATTTGGCATTTATTCGTAACATCTCATAGAATTCTGTAACGAATTCTCACTTTTATTATTCAGCTAGTTCATATTTTAGATGTTGCTTGAGCTTACAACTGTTTGTAGAAATATGAATTCTTATTTTATTAGAGAAGATTTTCGTTTCAATTTTAGTTAAATGAACTAAAAAAAAATGTAATTGAAACGAAAAATTCTTAACAGAATCATCCTATTTTTGTGATAAACTATACTGAAAACTTTATGACGTTTCGGTTTATTTACACCAACTAACTTATTTGAAAATATTTTCAAATATTTTTCACTTAATGGTATGTTTATTAATGACTGATTTTTTCTAGGTGTAGGATTTTTGCTTAATCCACAGCTATGGAATCATTTTTATCCACTGGCATTACTAAACTATTCTTTGGTACATAATTCAAAATATAAAAATGATTCATGGACAGAGTATGAATGTGACAATTGTCTCAGAGAGTTTCTTAACAAGGCAGAGTGAGTTTTACCATTGTTATGTTTACGTAATTTCATAACAATATTTCAGAATTGTTGATCTTCTGATTTAGATATTGATGACAAAAAAGTGGTAACTGCAGAAACTATAATATGCTGTCAATCTTTACAAGTGCAGTAGCTTTAATCAATAAGTCGTTGGTTTACCTTCGCTTCTATGTTTTTAACTAATATCAGTATCAAGGTGTTCATGTAGTGTGTTCATATTCCAGCAAGGAACTTTCTAACCTAATCATCCAGTTATATAAATAAATTGATGTATTCAAGTATCCGATTTTCATCGACCTTCACATTACTTCTCACTTGAATATATGTAATTTATTGAATGAAACTACGAAATTCCTGTTTTTAAAAACCACATTTGAAGGTCAAATGTATATTTCAGTGACCGTTTTTAACTCCATGAATCAAGATGATGTTGAAATCCAACACCTCAATAAATTTCATATATTACACTTAAACAAACCTCAATGTACAATGAATGTGGTTAACACATTTTAAATGCATAGACAACAAGTGCATGTAATAATATACAATCATTGTTTGTAGTATAGAAATTTGATAGTTTAACTGTCATTACAGTATAAAATTTATATGAACTTCAATGAATTGACCTAACTGAATGGATGTTTGACCGATTTTACTAGTTAAACAAAAATCTTGACATAATAAGAATTAGATGAAATATGAATGAAATTTTGTTACTTGACTACCTTAGAGGGTTTCCATAAACATGCAACGAACGACGACTTATACAACAACTTTATTTTTGTTCAAAATATTCTTGTTTCTGTTAAAATTCATTCATGCCAAGGTTGAAGTAGTTATCCAAAGCGGATAGCGAAAAATGGTCTCACTATAATGTGAACTGATAGAAGTCACAGATGTGCACCTTTGTTTACTGATACAGTGGTCAAGGGGGTAGAGACTTGAACTAGAGATCGGAGGCCGCAGATACGCACTACTGAGGACTCTCATACTGGAATTTTTTAATACATATTCGACTAGGATCAGCTCACAGTAAAGACTATAAAAATAAATCATTCAGAACTATGTATCAATTTCTCCGCTTCTAAACTAAAATCGTTCATCATTAAGACTACCACTTGTTAGAATTATATCGGACAATGACAAATGTATTTGCACAGAGAGGAAGATAATATGTGAGGCTAAATCACGTCGTTAATCAAGTTAGGTAAGCGATTTTATAAACTATCAAAAAAGATAACTTACCATATATATCTGTTAGTAAAAAGTAAGTTTTAACTCTTCACAAAAATAGTCTTCAACTTGTATAATCTTGGTAATGGGAAAAATGTAAACTTAATAGAAATTTGACACATTCTAAATAATTATACAAATACAAATAACAATAACTTATTTAATTATTATGTCATGTAATCTATTATAATACGTCATTATATTCACACTTTTTTGTTAATTTTATGCAAATTCTTAGCGATAGCTTCTGTGAAATTTCGAAACAATGCTGGGAAGCAGCTACTGACTACAGTGAAACGGAATATGGACTGACGCATCAAGTATTTTATTTTATGATTGGAAAGCAGGTAAATATTTCTTTCCATATTTATCTAAAAAGTTTCAATAAACATTGAAGGAAATTTCAAATTGATAAATTCATAAAAGCCATGATATCTTGAACTGAACAAATAATTTCTAGTATTTTAACTAAAAAGCATTGAAGAACATTGAAGACACTTGATTTAGTCAAACAGAAAAATAATTCTCAGCTTGTTTAAAGAAGAAGTTTAACATTTCCCAAGTAGATTTTAATACGTCTGATAGACTTATATGAAGGATTATATGCATATTTTTCAGTATAAGGAACCCAATGAGATTTGCCAAATATTGGACAATAGAAATAATCCATTGAATCCGCACCGATGATTACATAAAATTGAACGCTACATGATGTTAAGTAACAACTCAAGACGGGAAGTTTTTTCAGTTATTCGAATTAAACTCCTGAATATTTTCTGTTACTTAAAGGTAGATGTTAAGCACTCAATAATAAAAAAAGATTACATGGGGATTATATATGGATTTAAATGTAATTTTCTCACTGATTTTCGTATTGATTCCTTGTGATTTCCACATTGAATTAATTCAATGTAATATTACTCATTATAATTTCTAGTGTCCGTTGACTGATTCTATATGACTTTTTATTTAGTCAACCTGTTGAGTTTTAAAACTTTATAGTTCTCTTTGCTCGTTTATGAAACTTGTCGGTCTTTTTAATCAGAAAATGATATTAAACGCAGTCTATTAAATGCTAAGCAGTGATTCAATTTGACGTTATTATAGTTTATGTTATTTTAGTCATGCTTACTGACAGCTTCACAAAACAATGGAACCAAGACCGACAAGATTTGTGATTTTATTTAATTTGCGTTATTCATTCAGGATTTTGGCAAAATCATTTAGCTACACTCAGTCTGTGTTGTTCTTATATTAAATAAATTCAAAATAAACATTTATTGTTTGTTTTTCTACAGAATACTAAAATCGTTTTTATTTTCACACATTTTTTGTAACAAAGAGTAATTGCAGTGAAACAATGAATTATCTTCTGAGTTTCAATCAACCAGAAATGAATATTGAAGAATTTTTGCAACAGTTATGCACAAATATTGCAGCTGAAGCTGAAATAATTGCCAATGAAAATTTTTCAACTGGTTTTAGAGATCTATTCATGGAACAAGGTTTGTTTTCATAACAAGACATATTTTACTTTACTGTATTAGGTTTCATGAGAGTGGAACTTTTTGTCCAGATATTTAATGAAGGAATATATCTTTCCAGTTAACTTTCATCATAGGCTCTACTTGATATGGAACAGTATGATAGTATTAGTCGAATAGTAGGGTTACATAATTTTATGATTTTACAAGTGTTTATAAAAATAACATCAAATAATTAAAAGAGTGAGAGCGAAAACATTTATTTAGATGTTTGCCGTACTTCATAAAATTAAATCAGAAAGTTCATAAAATATTTTGATAAACAGTCAGTTTTACAATAGTTGAGGGGGGCTGGTCAAAGGATGAATATAGAAGTTATGTAAAATCTCAAAACGTGAATAGAATTCGAAACTTTTTCAAAAGTTTCAGTGAATCAAAGTTGATCTATAACCTACTGCTATTTTAATTTCCAAACTTCTTACAAGTGGGGACATTTGGTCTAAGAATACAAATTCCAATATCTTTGTCTTTGTGAACCCATAAACCATGAAGTAAATACAGAGTACTACTTTATAACCCCACATATACCTTTTGCTCATCAGTTGAGCGAGAATAGATCTCTTAATCAAATTTGACTGTCCTCTATTCGACCAAGCTGATTGGTGTTCTTACATAAAGATGGAGATTTCAAACTGTAGGCCATATGTAAACGGGTTAAATAATAACCATAGAATAAGTGTCTACGAATTTTGATTGATATCTGTACGTTAACATTTGATATATTCATTTATCAAGAATTATCAAGCTTCATACAAAAAGTGAGGCCTGAACCATATCGGTTTCTGTGATTTTGATGACTAAGCCTATCAACTCGGTATGAAAGCATCAGTCTACAAAATTGAAGATATTTATTAGATGTTTAACCAAACTCAACTTTTATTCGTTGCGTATTTTTTCTCTTTCATGAATTAGTCCTAATGAAATTCTAGATATTAAGATGAAATACTGTCGAATTCACTCACAAGATACAAGGTACGACTAGAAATTCATAATTTACATTATTGAACACAAAGCGATATGAGTTAAGGTAGTTTACTTGAAAACAGATTCAATCTTTCATCAATTAGATAAGAAAAGATTGATTCTATTTTAAAAGATAAGAAAATTTTCTAATGAATTCCATATACTGAAACTTTTCAATTATCTTTTTTATTTATTTTCAGTTGGATTTTGTGGTTTAGCAGGCTTTTGGCAAATTTGTAAAATTGATTGGTTAATGAGAATTATTTCATGGCAAAATGCCAATGGTTGTTATCATAAATTTTACACTGAAGAAATGAATCCGGAAAATTTTGATCTCAATCTATATGGACATTATAAGCGTAGAAGGCGTTCTGAACAACTTTTATCTAGTGGTCGACAGGCGTGTTTATCGCATAGGACAAGTGTAGCAATGACAGCATTAAGTGCTTACTTAAGATACTTAATTGAATTTCATTAGATGATTAAATATTTTTTTGTGTTATTATTTATCAAAAATCATTATATCATTTACAAAGAAAATGTTAGTTATTCTCTTCAAACTCTAAAGTAACTTTGAAGATTGTAATGTAGTAAGATGGGCAATCAACTATATGTCATTGATATAACTTTGAATACCAAACACTATCCGTAGCCAAGAAACGCCGAAGTTTGGGACTCTTTCTCAGTATCTGTTAGCAATCCAGCCAGGAATAGAACCTGGGACTTGCAAATATCAAGGTAAACATTTGAAACGGATCATAATTACTAAACTTCGTACATAACTTGGAGTAAAAATTTCAGACAACAGTATGAAACGTTGGCTGTCGTTTATTGTCGTACAGCAGAAGTCACAAATTCGCAAGCACACAAAGCAAATACGACCAGATATGACAATATATATATATGAAAATGAATGAGTCAGTGGGTTATTTGAGCGACCAACATTTTAGCTGGTTAGACAAATAAGTGTGTAAGCTGCAACAAGCAAACATGATAAAAATAATAATACAAAAATTTGGACAAATTTTCACTGTTTAAATGACACTGTCTGTTAGTTATTTGAAGGGCTTAACCAAATTTGAGGTAACGTTTAACTTATTGAATTGAATTTAGTATCTATTGTTCTATATCTCCGGAGTCAGTAAGCTTGTGATATTAGAGACTTCTGAGGAGGTTAATATTAAGTTAATTACAGATAACCGGGGTACCTCCGTTTTCTGTGTTTCTCTAGTTGAAGCCAGTATGGGTACAAAATACAAATTCGTCAGTCCCAAATCACTTATGCTAGTAATAGTGTTCACACATATATCTGTGCAAAGAATTATTTTAACATGTCCGCCTTTAAGCCCTATTGCTGTAAATCAGTAGTTTTGCAAATAGGAACATACGTTTATTAAATTAGTCAGTGTTATAGACTGAAATTAGTGGGTTTCAAGGCAAGTCGCCTCAGAATACTGAAACATTGTATCATTATGAACGTCAATTAGATTGTGAGTGCTGTAACGATGTTGTGAAGCATTATATCTAGTTCAAGACTTTTTGTTTGCACTAAAATCTGGCAGACGTTTCTGAAGACTATATTCTCTTCATGGTCTTTATTGCCGGCAACTTTTCAAAGTAAATGATATCTGTTTGCAAATCATGTATTTAAAAGTAGTTCACTTATCAAAAAGTTGGATCTTATTTTTATTTCATCTTAAAATAATAGATTAATTGATTCAACTGTCAAAAACAGAAACATAAAATATTTTGCAATTAACTCATCTAATTTATAGGGTAAGATACTATCAAAACTTATCAGAAACAGAACACTCAAGATTAAGAACCAATATGTCATTACAGCCAAACGAATTAATATCTCCTAAATAAAAAACATATCTAAAATGTTAATTTACAATCCGCTTTTAATTCGCTTTTAACTGTGAATTAGTTTTACCGCCTATTTTTATTAGCTGAAAGCTAATGAGCGATTATCTTGCTTCAGTAAAATCACTATTGGTGTGAGTTAGAATGTTTATATTCCAAAATTATGTTTCTAACTACAGAACAGAAGTCCGAATAGTCTGGCTGATCATCTAAGAAATCGGTAGAATAGATAGCTGACACCGTATAACTAAAATGTTGAGGTTAATTTACTATACTATACTATACTATACTATAGTATACTTGGATTGATAAACCGCCATTATCTAAAGTACAGTTATATTCGTTTCTCATTATTAATTATTATATAAATGTCTATCTCGCCAACTAAAATGTAAACATAAATCTCTACAAAATATCAACCACTCTAATAATTCAAGCCTGTGAGTTGTTATTACGGTCCTTGAGACTTTATATAGGCCTTATGGACAAGTTTCCATGAACCTTAAATGTAATGAAACTGATAAATTGCAACATTAAAAGCAATAAATAATATTTATGAATACGAAAGCAAATTTCTTATAACAAGTGAGTATAATTAGGCGGAATAGCTCACTTGTACATTACCTAATTTGTCATACAAATCCTCTTATTATTGTATACTTTGAATCCTTTTATTCACAACAGGATTATTTGAGAACATTCCATATCCTTCATTTAAATGTTAACTCACTTAGAGGATTTTTTTCAATTTGGTTCCCAGATGCGTACTATCATAATAAAACTCCTAATGTTTCATATTACCTTATGTCAGCCGTTGTTGCTGTTAGGCCTAGATTTATACACGAAAGACATTTTCGCGAAATATCTTTAAAACCGTGACAGACCTAACATTGTACCGTATCAAATTCCGCCAGAACGTAATGTCTTCAAGGGTGGCACTCAGTCGTCAGCTGTTTAAATGTGACTGACACCAACAGATAGATGGTAAACCACTACTACTACTTGACAAAAGTGGCCAAACCATTTAAAGGGTTTGAAAATAGTGTAATATTTCTAACGCCGGTCTCGCCCATACGTTTGAGAATACTATTCCATTGACCAAATATGATCGTGTTTGTAATACAGGAATGGCTTTTGCTGAAACTATTCTGTAGCGATACAAAATGATTTATTGATGTACTATAACGATGTAGACCGTCAAAGATATACGATTTCATGACTTTAAGAAGTATTTTATGTACTGTCAGAGTGATCGTTGAGTCGAACTTCTGCGGAAATTCGGGTGATTTTTGTAGACTTTTATTCATCTGGGACAACATTCACCATTAGTAGTGAGAACGATTGTGGTAGGAGTTTTCGTCCCTTACAATATTTGGATGAATCATGTCACTACCTGAAGAATAAAAATTTCAATTGTTTTCTCCTCCGATCAACCAGATCAAAACTTAGATTAGTCTTTGCGAATCTTTTTGTAGGTGTCCTGAAGGCATCATGAGTGAGAGTTTTATGCGATGTCATAAACACTGCCAGTTACTGCCTACTTAGCAATTTCAACTTCATCTCCATCATTGGTAGTCTCTTCATGATGGCCATACAACTGCGAAACGCAACCATCAGCTTGCTCAAATGAGGTCATTTGACGAAATAATACTTACAGGTTTAAAACAGATAAGGAGATTGGCTGAACACAAGAATAGTAGCCACCGTCGCCTAGGGCAATTGTACAAAGATTCTTAGTTTTTTTAAGTATACGTAATTTTAATCACTATTGTACCAGTTATGCTCTACTCAATGGGAGCTCTCAATATCTGTTTAATATGGATGCCATTTAAAACCTTAAATGTTGCACACTACTCAGTTCTGTAAACTGGACGGCCGCAATGCCGTCATGGATGATAGTCATTGTTGCAACAAAGAGCGCTGGATTATTTGGAGAAAAGTAACAGAGGCTCTACTGTTACTATTAAAATATAATTTTCAGCACAGACATGCTACATTTGAACAAGGGCATAATCATTAGAGAATAAGACAGTTAACTCAGCTTATGATTAAAGATAGTCTAATACAGTCCTAGGTTTATTTCACTACAAAACTATTGCTAGGTATCCTATTGCTGGTGTAATTTCCATCCTAACTGGTGATTATCAATAGCATCGTTAATGTAAATTTAATCGAAATACAAATAGATCTGATTCTGGTGTTAATGCAGTCCTATTTTACACTGACTGTGTATTAACAACGTACGTACTAGGTAATTTGATTACCGAATTATACATTTGTCCTCGACCATCGAATAAAAGGTAATGAATATAACATAGACACTGATGACTTTTAATTACTAGCGATTGGATCGCAACCTTGGAGAATATTATTTAGTCATACTAAGAAGTTTCGATAAATACATTTGTTCGAGTAAAAATTATTCTTCGAGGTGTTGGTATATTGACCGGGTACCTTTAGTATTTTCAGAACTTCATCGGCCTTATACCATTCTCGGGCAAAAATTATTATTTGGTATGAGAGTGCCATTGTCGTTAATAGCCTATGGCGGTAAAGAAATCGCCAAAATAAACAGTTCTTTAAGTCTTCAACATTGATGCCGACCCCATTGTTTTAACTGGACAAACCTCTATCTGAAGGCAATCAGTCAATCAACTGCAACAGATCACGATTGGGTACATCATGTTACGTATCCATTTCAACAACTATTCAGCCTAGAACATATACTTCTTGAAACTTCAATCATCTCTTAAACAATTCTCTGAGCTCATTCCTTTCAAACTCCTCTCTTGACCAGCTTTAGATTATTGGATCATAATAGCGTTCGGTCACATGTTTTTGAAGCGTAGGTCGTTTGAACTTTTAAGGGATCTACCTTGAAACAGCCTTAATAATAGTTTATTTGATTATTTTCATCTAAACTTTTCAATGATCACTTGTGGCAGTCCCATACGTATAGCGTTCTTATTGAAACTGGTTTTAAGTTTGACTCAATTGGATATTAACAACATTTCTGAAGTCTTAGTGATTATTTGGCATTTTTACTTACACTTTTGAAAATGCACTTTTGTCGATGTGTTAGGATCGTTTTTCTACTCACCTGTCAATTACTTTGGACCATATATGAAAAAAAGTTTTATGACTCAAAAAATACAAACTCTTGTCCACTTTCCCAGTTGGCTACATGTAACCTCGTTTGCTTGTAGTGCTTGAAAATGCGTCACTGAAAATTGCCTTATTTAGACTCCTTAATTTATGTTATGTTTGGAAGAGCTGGATCGACAAAGATAAAGTCAATCAACTGCACGAAGTTAGTGGAAATATTCATGTAACCTTATAATTCACAACAATTTGACTACTACCTATTATCTTCCCTAGTTGTCATGATTTGTCTCCTATTGTAATGATAATTGAAGACCTTGAATGTTGTTTTATATTTCGTTCCACTCGTACAGCAGCCATTGTTCCTCCACGCAGAAGCTAATTTTTGATAAGAGCTTGTATGGGTTACCGTACGTAAACTGCAAATACGTTAAGTAGGAACTTTAACTACTGTGAATTAATAATGACAGACATTTAGAAGTAGTGGATCCAATTTAATTCATAAATTTT